GCAACGCAAGACCACAGGGGTCCAACCCAGTCACGTTCCGAATGGCAACATCTCCCAGCCCCAGAACACTGTGCACTGGATTTTCTGCTAGGTTTGGCAGCTCAGGAGCCCGACTGCGCAGGCGGGCTCCCAACGTCGGTAGTTGAGAGGTTTCGCAACTGATGGGTCGTGCCGGTGGCAGAGGAGAGACATCTTGTGACTTGTGAAAGACGCTCCTGATGTGTGCATGAAAACGACTGGTAGGAGTACTTAGAAGGATTGGCTTCCTCACATGCACCCGTTCATAATGCAGGCAGCTTGCAGGGCGAGGGGGCTCCAGAGCAGCACTCGGGAGGCCCTTTCTGGCTTCAGGGCTTGAGCTCGTCTGATGTCTGGCGCTACGTTGCGTCCCTAACAGCTTGGCTGCCAGTAGCATGAGTTACACGAGCACCGTGCCCAGTTGGCTTCCTGGTCTAACGAGCAAAGCGCACTTGCGTAGAAACTACACTCAAACGGTCTTACGCTCACAGCCACGCGAAGGCAACAAGCTGCGAGAATCTTCTCACATAAAAGCTTGGAGCTGGAGCTTCGCACCTCGCACCTCGCACCCACACTTAGCTTGTCTGTTGGAGCCATCAGGTGGCCCACCTGCACCAGAGCCAGAAGGGACAGAAGATGCCAAAGTTGCGGTGTCAGGCAGGAGCGCTGAAGAACATTCAGCGGAGAACTCCTAGTGACAATCGCAGATAGTCACTGCGCTTCCCAGCACGTGCAATTTCTGATCGGGCTGACGCCTGAAATGAATCGCAGTGATTTCTGTAGAGCTGGCAGACTCAAGAATGCCAGCTCCACTCGCTGGACAGGCTACAGGTTTCCCGTCTGAGGATGACAGGAGTAGCGAGCTCGTATTTGCAGTGGCGGTACTGGTATGTCGGAGTTGGAGGAGTAGTCACCGTCGGGGTCGGGGTCGGGGTCGTCGTCGATGTTGCTGTTGCTGTTGCTGTTGCTGCTGTAGCAGAAAAAGCCGCAGAAAAAGCAGCAGTAACGCAGTAGCAGGAGCAGGAGCATGAAAGGGAGGATATCGATGCTTTCGCTAGGGTGTTCCTGCAGAATGCTGCGGAGGCCCGGCACCCACCATTCAGGATGAGGCTGAGGCATCCGCGGCGGAGCCGGGCTCGGGGCCCGGAGAGCGGAAGTTTTGATGTGTAGATTTGCGTTCTTTTGCAGTAAACTCGGGCCAGGAGCAGGCAAAAAAACACGGCGCCCGTCGTTTCCATGGAAAAGTTCACAAAGACAATCTTTTGAACACCCTCCTTGTCGTTGGGTTTGCTTTCAGCACCCAGAAAGTGTCCTGCATGAGGCTTTCTTTCTGGATCATCGTAGGGAGCTTTGCTAGGCTTTTCAAGATAATGCCATCGACATGTAAGACCGCAAGGTAAACGACTGACTGAACCTCGGGTCGTATCTTTCAGATTGTCTGAAACCGAATTTTGCGACGACCGCAAGCGTTCTCTGGCACTCCTCATGTGCTTGCTGATTCACCAAACTCCCCTGCACTCTCCGTCTTAACACTGCGGACCGATGCAAGCGTTCACAAAGCCTGTCTAGCCCGAATTGTGAATAAAAGCTCGAAGCTGCTGTTTTGTTACCTGCAGGTGTAAGTGCTCCCCTGGATGCCACTTCAAAAGAAGCAGGCGCTGATCTGCGGGAGGGCGGGTCCCGTTTATCCCGGCACGTCGGTTCTAGTGCCTGAGCAGGGAAGAATCTGGGTCTGAGCCCAGACACCTTACGCCGAACACTCGGACGCCTTGACCCCTTTGCCCCGTTGCGAGAGTCTGTCCAAACCCGGAAAGCTTGAGACACCGAACAACATGAATCAGAAAGCCCCAGGGGCCCTAAACCCTAAGCCCTTTGAGGTAGGGGGAAAAAAAGCCCCAAAGGGGGCCCCAAAGCCCCCCAAACAAAGGGGCCCCCAAAGCGGAGGTGACCGAGGCGACGGCCCGAGCGTCGCGCGCGTCCGGCGCCAGCCGCTGAACCGCAAGGCTTCCGAGGCCCTCCTCCCGGGGGGTCCCTTTTGGGAATTACTTAAAGGATCTTGGGGCTTAGTAACTAGGGTTATTATTGGGGTAACTGTACTTATAATTAATATCTTATCATTGTTTATAACTTTATAACCCCAATTAAGGGACTTATAACTATAGTTACTAAGTCCCATGATCCTCCAAGTATAGGGGCCCAAAAAGGCTGTAAGCATAGGCATCTTCTATATGTGCTTGTCTTGGGGTGATCGAAACTGCAGGGTTTGTTTGGAAATGTTTTAGGGCGTAAGCAGGGCTTGCGAGACTTTTTGCCTTTAGCTTCGGTGACGTCTTGAATGAAGCTTCCGACGGGCAAACAGAATCGAAGTAGGGTTGCAAGGAGTTTGAACCTAGTCCTAAATCCAATGATCGCGTGTATGACACCGCATAATTACGTCTGAAAACTTCACGAGGCTACAAGCAAGGGATTGGTGGAGGCCTTCGGAACTTCGGGATCTCATATCGACCAGCAGGATCTGAGGCTTGCTCGCCCATTTGTACTTAACCTCAACATACGGCCAAACTGGCATCTGGATCCATCTAAATTCAGCGGCGCGCTCCATCCAAACCTTATCATTCGGGAGCACCCTTCCCCCTGAACCTGAGTGGGCTTTCATTCAGAGCCGCCCTTCCCTCCTGAACCTTGTTGAATTCTGATTCGAGAAAAGCCCTTTCCGATCCTTATTGAATTATCACCGGATTGGAGAGCAGGAGACGACCCTGAGCCTAGAGGTCAGCATTGCAGTCGCTTGAGCCAACAGACGGCAGTCTTCCATTGGCAGCAGATACTGAAAGGCCTTTAAAGCTCGAACGCATGCGAACAATTGGGCCATGTTTGCTGACCCAAAGTACGATCAGAACCGGCCAGGAGGAGCTAAGTGCGGCCGCCGCAGAGGCAGGACGAACGTTTTCAGAAGTCCTGGGTTAGGATCTTTGAGTGTAGGAAGCCGCCTGAGGCGACACAGTCGGAGGTAGAAAAGACAGCGACGCCTGCTCCTGCTGACGAGGCCTACTGGGATTTGTGCCGAACGATTGTGGATTTGCAAACATGCCATAGCCCGCAAGCCCAGTAGCTTGTGCGCATGCTTCAAGCTCCGCATTCCTCACCATCCCAATCTTGAACCATGAGTCTCTGCCACTGCGTGGGCTCTGAGGCACTGAGGGCCAGTGTGACGGCACAAGCGTGATCCAGGATGCATGACTTGTCTGCCAGAAAGAGCTTTAGCCAGGTTTGCTGCTGATCACGCCGCACTGTTCAGTTTCAGGGAAGTATCAGCTATCGCTGAGTATAGGATTGGGTAGGTCTGATGTTGGTGTGGCGGTGCATGTGAAGCAGCACCGGTCACTGCATCTAAGTAGGTGTTCTAGTCTTTGGCGAACATGGTGCTGACAGGAAGAGGAGGGCTGTTTCATTACTGTAGTTGTCACGACTCTCCTGGCTGTCATAGTCTTCGTCCCCATATTCCGAGCTTTGGCGGGCCTTGACTGCCTGGGCCGGCCCACCGCACGCCGAAGGCGGCGGCGGGTCGGAGCCCATTTGGGAAGTGGCGCTTCGCGGCGATTGGGCTCCGGGATTGGTGATTCGAGTATTTGTTGACTGTTTCGGGTTCCGGGCTTCCGGGTGTCAGGGGCGAAGTTCGGGGCCTAATCGGGGAGGATTGGGGATGCACTCGGGTTTGCGAACGGTGTTGCGGGTTTTTTGGTCCTGGAATGTCATCGTGATTGCTACCGTGCTTGTGATTCTTACGCGGCTGTTGTTGCTGCTGTTGTTGTTGTTGTTGTTGTTGTTGTGGTGGTGGTGGTGGTGATGGTCCTTTTGCAATCTCCGTTCTCCGCGTATACTAGTACTGCCATTGTCGCTATGATGATGAAGATGATGATCATGATTATGATGCTGATGATGATGATGATGATGATGAAAGTTTTTGTTGAAGCTGTTTCGATTGTGCTAGTTATGACTATGATTACTATGGTTGATATGAGTAATAAGATTGTCATTATTACCATTACTAAGAAGTATTTACTAGTCGATTTTGTTCCGACGACGAGACTACTACTACTACTACTACTACTACTACTACTACTACTACTACTACTACTACTACTACTACTACTACCACTTCTGCTGCTGGAGCTCCGGCCTTCTAGTTTCGGCTGCTTCGGGGATCCTGGGAAGTACTGGTGCCGCCACGTGTCCGCTTTGTTTGAAGCGCCCGGGGTGGACGAGGATTTGGCATGCGTTCGCGTCACACTGGGGTCTAGCACGGGTTCAAAAAAGCCAAGTTTCGCTTCCTCCAACTAGGCTCGAGGCCTGATCCACTCCGGGCCCGGCTTGTAGAACTACCCGCGGGGACTTGCTTGCGTCAGCACAGGGCCTTCTGATCACGTCCTGGTAAGGCAGGCACTGCAAGCGTCCTTCCTTGTGGCCTCCTTCTCAGGACTGCTAAGCTTGAACGGCTAGATCGGAAGGCCCCTGTGCAGGGCGACGAGATGTCGGCCCGATGCAAATGCTTGTGAGAAGGGAGATGAGGAGTAAGGCTTGTTTCGGAGGTGGTTTGTGATCCTTCGAAATTAGGTGCAGCTGAAATGCCTGAGGCGACTGCACAAGCTGTCGCTTCGGCAAGCAAACGGACCAAAGTTGACCATGCGCAGAACGGTTCACTGGTGGCTGAATGACATTCGAACGCAACTGTTCATGCGTCATTTCTGTGACGCGTCGCCCCTGCACACTTGCCCGCAGCAGTTTTTTAGTTGCGCCATGGAGCATGAGAGTACGAAGGAGAAGAGACACTGACACCTTACAGTCAGAAGCGCAACATCTGACTGATGGGCGCCAACTGAGCTTGGGACCTGTACAGCGGATCAGAAAGCAGTTGGTTTCGAACCTGGGCTGCATGTGCCGTTGCCCAACTAGATCCAGCGCAAAAACTTTAGAAGCCAGTCATGGCCAAGTCGCGTGGCGCCAAAGACAAGGCGCAGAGGTACGCCACCGGACGGGGTTGGTTGAGCTTCACTTGTACATTGGGGTGAGCGGCGGGTGCGACGTTTTGCACGGGTAGAAGTGCTAGAGGGAATTGCGCCACCCCCTGAGAGTGGAGTGATTACAGTACGGATGTGAACCTGTCGGGTTCATGTAGCCATCGCACGAAGAGGAACGCAGCTAAAACTGGCTCAGGTCGTCCAAAACTGTCTGCAGTACGCACACTGGACCTGTGTCTTAATAGCCGAAAAAGCGACTCCGCTCCTTCTCTACGAACCCCAGAGCAAGCCTCTTCATGATAGACAGTACATCCGGCGCATGTGTGCCAGTCCTTGCCGCCAGTACTACCACTTACTAACACTTGAAATTGAAAGCATGGCAAAGCCAGTGCTGGCGGTTGAAGAAATGTATTGCATGTAGTGCACCTCCACGATCCCAACAAACAGCCTCGAGCCTGACGAAGGCTCCGCGATATGGGCTTTGCCAGCGCCGACGTGGACGAGGCCTTGCGTCGCAGCCCCGGTGTTAAGGGTGCATGGCTTGTCGAAAGTTGAGCTCTGGTGTGCTTCGGGAAAATTGTAGAGACTAGCATGGAGAGCTCGACGGCAGAAAAAGAAAACTATGTTTCCGGTGATAGGGCATCTGATAGGGTTGCTAGCTGCTAGCACCAGCAGACAGTTGCGGAAGCTTTCTTCCGACAGCCAGCAAAGGCGGGTGCGGTTGGGTTCTGTTTTGAAGAATGAACTAGTTTTTGGCCAGTGCTGCGGTGCCTGTTGAGCCCAGGATTCGGGTTCACAACCATCGCTAGTCTGAGGCTTAAGTAAGCACAGAAAAGGACTTGGAGGTGAGAGCCCACATGTCTGTTCACTGGGCCTGCCATGAAAGCCGAGCCCGAGCCATCGAGGGCATGCTCCCAATTTCCCTAGAAGAAATCACATAAATCTCAAAATGCTGCACTCTGAGGCTGTTGCCGCTCCATGTGCCGAGCAGTGGAATGGCTGACAGCAGCCAGCGCGCAGGCTTGTAGGCAAAAGCCGACCAGACAGCCACCAATCTTTGCTAGTAGGACCATACATGAATTGTTAGCTTGTTAGCCTGGAAGGTGTGTCGTGGCAGGGTTTGCGCTCTGTGATGCCTTTCTTGACATTGTGTCCCGCATAGGGTGCTACACAGTACACCCTATGCGGTTCTTATGTTCGAAGCGCACCCGCCGAAATGCCGAGAATCGCAGGCGATTTTGCGTGTACCTGGATGTTTTCCTGAATCCCAGCTGTCCTATCCGAAATTGTGTTGTAACCTTTCCGAGCCAGTCGCATCGTGTCCACCTTGGCCTGATGGATTCCAGCGAGGCACAGCAGCAAGCGGAAGGCAACAACATCTCTCAGGCTCCGATGTGGGAGCTGGGGCGCTCGGGGGCCGTTTCGCCTCAAAGCCCTCATGTTCGAGGCAGTATGAAATGAGAGTGTCAGTGGCTGCATTCTGCTTCGAATGCCACTTAACCCTCGAGCCACGACTTCCAAAGCTGACTTTCAGGCCCCAGTCGTGACGCCACCGCGGGGCGTGTCCGCGATGGCCCCGCCAGAGCAGGACGAGGTCAAACTGGGTTGGATGTGAGTTGATCGTCAACCGTACATGCTGTTGTCGCAGCGTCTGCAACTTGCCATGGCCGCTGTGATTGTTGTTATTCTTGTCGCCATGGTTGTGTCATCGTCAACATCATCAGCACCACCCCCACCCCCAAAGCCCCACCCCCGCCACCACCCCCGCAACCCCCACACCCACGCCCGCACCACCCCCACCACCTCCCGCCTTCACCCCACCACCCCCACCAGTGGCTTTTGCATTGCAGTTTGCGGAAGTAAAGCCTTTTTGCTGGTAGCGTGTGTTTTTTCCCTTTTCTGGAGATTCCTGCACTTGCAGTGTGGATATGTGACTGTTTTGCTGAGTGACAGGCTTTCAGTAGAAGGTCTGGCTTTCGGGCTGGTTCTGGTGACCTCTTGGTTCCTTCTTGCAGCCGCTCGCATGTTTCCTCTTGGCACATATCGTTCGTTGTCCACAAATGCTATAAGCGGAAGGCTTACGCACGCTGATCCACAAGTTGTTGCGTCTACAGAGAGAAGCACAACAGCGTGGTCTCTGCACTGCTTCGAGCCGAATTTGCCTTGCATGACTCTTCATGTTGTTTGTCGCCACTGCCATCATCATCGGAATCATGATGCCAAGGGTTTGCGCTTTTGACGGTGATCGGCACAAGAAGTTCAGCACCCACAACAATTGCCACGGCTGCAGCTGAGAGCATTTTCAACAAGCAAGAACAATCAGGCAGACAGGCATGGTGACAATTGTTGGACATATTTCGATTGTAGTAATGTGATGTGGCTATTCCCACCATGGCAGATCTTTGCGCTTTTGGGTTAGGCGGCTGTTTAAGTCTTCAAGTAAGGCAAGGCTTGGAAAGCATTTCTCTCGTGAGCGTTCGATCGCCAGTCATTTGTGTTCTGAAGATCTGGTTGCCTTGGGTTAGGATTCAGGGAATCGCTCTGGCAAAGAAAGCCCGAGGTGGGCTTTTCGGAATTAGCTTGCCTTCGTGACACCGTCCTAGCAGGTGGAGGTGGCCCCGAGGGCACCCGCCTTTCCGCGCCGCAGCTGCTTGGTGAGTTGGGCTGCGAGTTGCCTCGGTCATGCAATCGGACAGCCAAGACAACACAGCTGCCGAACTAAGGCTTAGGGCCTGCACGGCTAGCGTCTCCGCTATCTCCGCGGCTGAGCTTGAGCCACTTGCGCTGCAGTACATCGAGACCTTTAGATAGTTGGGGCTGTTGTCGGCATCGAAACACTTGTGGGCTAAATGGCCCTCTGGCGATTTCCATGCTGACGGGCTTCAGTTCGGAAGCGCTTAAAGCCGAAGCAGCCGCGTCATCAAGACCTAGATACTTCGCAGCTGTGACTTACGAATCGAGTCTTCCGGGGCGCTTCACGCCGACAAGACTCACATTGCTGATAATTGAAATCAGCAAACTAGCATGAATACGAGTACTATGCTGGTAAACGTGATGGTGGCACTGGTGGAGTCACCAGAATGCCCACCATCCTCGTCAGAACACTTGGGCAAGAAGCATCTGAGGCCGCTTGGCCTCCCCCGTGTCCCCACGCTTGAGCTTAAGCTGCTCGGCTCGAGTGTAATATGCACTCGTCAAAGCTCGGGTTCGGGGTTCAGCGGCTTCAGACCAAAGGCAGTCCGAGTCTTGGGGTTGAGACGTCAGCCTCGTCGCTAAATCTTCCAGGAAGGTCGGTATGGAAGTTTTGAGAGGAAGAACTTCGGACTGGAGGTTGCGGCGCACCTTCTCTCAAGCCGCCTGCCTCTCAGGCTCGCTCCTGTCAGTCCCCGCGGACCTCTGGAGTGCCGACCAGTGCCAGGAGGGGCCTTGCAGCGCCGGAATCGCGGAATTTGATTCATGAACCACAGTAGCACTAAGGACCGTAATCCATGAAGGTCCTGTTGGTCCGTTCCGTTCGATGGGATGTTAATCTATTTCGGAACCGCCCAGGCTTTTCAATCATGTTCACATAGAGACACAATCAGGTGACAGGCGCATGGACGAGGCCTTCTTGCCCTTGCCCGGGTCATGACTTGAGCCCTTAGTATAGCATAGCAAAGCAAAGAAAGATGGACAGTTCGATAAGCAGATCGACATATAGAAAAGGCGTAAACTCTAGTTCTGGTTCTTGCAATTGGCGAGTTTGAAGCCTTCAGCAAAAGACTCCAGGCTTGGAGTGCAGAGCCCAGTGACCATCCCGTAAGTACTACTGTGGGAGCCTCAACGAAAAATGACTCCTGTTTTCCCTTCTTTCCATCGTCTTATCAGGTATTCGGTAAACCTTGCTCCTTTGAGGTCTGCATCCTATCGCCCTTTCGTGGCCTTGTTGTTTCATCACATGCTGCAGCCCTCTGTAGCCTCGTTCCAGCTAGGACCTTTGCATGACAGCCTTAGCTAGTCGGAAACACGCTCTGCGAGGCCGCAGCGAAGGAGCTGCTTTGTGCCGGCAAGAGGCCCCGAAAGAGGGCCCCCAGGTGGTTATAGTTTCTGTGCAAACACACACGCAGGCGCTTGGTTGGAGGAAGCTGCTTTGGTTGGGGTGCGTGCTGTCTTTCTAGGCTAGGTTTAGAGTGAGGCTTTATGTTTACCTGAGCTACACGCAAACCCATCATCGGAGATGTATTCCCGTCTTTGAGATTTTGGATGTGCTCCGACTGGATAAGTCTGCGAGGAAGAGATCCACGGAAACTGCAGAAACCCAGCGGCCAAGCTTCGTGGAGCCAATGCAGGGCTCCTGGCACGAGAGCACGGGGGGCCTTTTTCAGGAGGTTTTGAAGGAGCCTGAAGGTAACGCCTTCCGTCAGTGACAGAAAATCCTCTCAAAGCTGCGTGCGCTGCGTCTGAAGCTTTGCCACCGGTCCCTTCCGAGGCCTGCGCCAGAAGCCGTCGAGGGAGCGAGGTCCGAAGCCTGGAGGGCCGCACGCCGCACGCTTTCGTGTTCAGAGTTGTTCCCGGAGCTTCGAGCGTCCAGAGGACCTGCTGCCTTGCAGACTTTCCCGGCAAGCCCTGGCTCAGAGATGTTGCGAGGCCTCGCAGGCGCCTCCGTGGCAAGCAGCCGCCGGATGGCGAAAGGCACAGGCACAAAAGTGTTGCAGTGCTTCTACAGCAAGAGCAGCTCATGTGACGAGCTTGTCAGGGCTGCCCCATTTGTGCAGCCGACTGCCAAAGCCCCGAAGGCCACGTCCAGCGTATTCTGCTGTTGATCTAATCGAAACTTGAGTTGCATGCAGCTCCGACTTCAAGCTCTCAGGCGTTTGTCTGACATGTTTGGCGAAAGATCCACAACACCATTGCGAGTTCACACGTTGGCTACCAAAGACGTCGCCAGGCCTCGGTGGGGAAAGCCGCCAAAGGGAGGCCTGCTGAGAAGTTCTCGGAGAAGCACCAGCTTCTCGGCCTAAAGCAGGAAGTTCGCAAGCAGAAGATCTTGGAGTCTGGCAAATAGCCCAACGAGGCAACAGCCGAGTCCGGTCAAGGGATGCCAATACCCGTCGGAGTGCCGAGGAAGTGGGCCATCCAGCTCCGCGACATGGGCTTCACGAAGCGAGGGAACTCGGAGTTTTGGTTGATGGATGGATTGGGGGGGCGGGGTCGTTATGTAGAAACCTGGTTCCGTTCAGAGAGGGCTGCCTAGGTGAAGCATCGTGTTCCTGCATCCTGCACAGTCGCTACCCTGAAAAGCCTTACCTCCTGTATCATATATCCTGCCCTGACCCAGTAAGCTCCTGATTCGACCTGAAGACCCGACATATGCATAGCCCTGAAGAGTCCGACTGCGAGAGCTTTGTACACACCTTGCAGAAGCCCCATCTTCATAACACGAAAAGTATACAAGCAAATCGAAGCCAGGCGGCGCATCGACGCAACTCTCCCGGAATGCCGCTCCTTGCGCGAGGCCTCCGGTAGGGTAGGGCCGGAAGAGTCTTCAGGGCCTCGCAGCAGCACCAAAAATCCTGTTGCTGTTGCTACTCCGCCGCTGATCAGCTGATCATCGAATTCCATTTTGAAAACAAATCCCGGGCACCATGACGGTTCACTGCACAAGGCTTGCAGGGACGGTTTAGGGTTTCAAACCAGCCGGCGTGCAGACGGTGTGTGATTCACTCCTGCATCCCAACAATATCCCACAATAAAGCCGCCGTGACGGTTTGTGTTTCCTGCATTTCAATCTAAGAATCTTGGCGTGGAGTTGATTACCCGGCTACTGTCGAGGAAGCAATGATGAGTCTGGATCTCCGACCATCTTGACCTGTGCTCCTGCTGGCTTTCATGTCATCCGACTGGTCTCGTCTCTTTGCGTGAGCCTACAACCCCAGACGCCCAACAAAAGACCTCAACCAGCTACTGGCATGCGGATCGGCCAGGCAGTCGAGAGGCTGTGCGGATAATGCTCAGAGATCCTCTGCAGCGGCGGAGGACCGATGTTCTTTCAACGGGTTCAGGGCATAAACTGTCGTCAAATCCTGTTTAGAGCATGGTCGGTTGCAGTATGTTAGTGTGCGTTAAAACTCTGAGGGTCCTGTCACATAGCTGTCCAACCTCCTCGACATGAAGCCGCAGACCTCGATCTTTCGAGTCCAGCCGAATCGAGTCATCCAGAGCGGGACTTCAATGCTTGGCCTTGTGCAGAAGTATTGCCGCACGCATGCAACCGCCACCACCTGAAGAAGCCCGGAGCAGTCAAGTGCTACCACCATGCTATAGTCGTGTAGTCGTCAGCTGTCTCTACTGCCGTCAGCCATCGCAACTTCGAACACCGAGCACGCAAACGAAGACTTTGTTTCCGATTGGATACGGGTATACTATGTATCATATCTGTACGAATTCTGTTCTATTCCGTTCAGCTCCATTTTATTCTTATCGTTTGTTGGTTTTGTTATTGTTTATGTTCTCGTTACAGTTGCTGCGTATTATCATTGTCATCGTTATCGTCATTGTTATTCTTATTCTTATTCTAACGAGTGTCTTTTTCCTATTCTTGTTCTTGGTATTCTCATTCTAAATACCATTCCTAAATCTTCTTCTTCTTCAGGTTCTGGTTCTAAGTTCTGAGTCCTTCCCATTCTGTTCTTATTCTTTCGATTCTGTTCTATGCTGTTCTAATTCGAAAAGCAATTTGTTCTAGTTTTTCTATAGAGTCTACAGACCTGAGTTATATACAGCTTTGCAAGAGGACGCCGCGAATTCGCTGGGATGCCAGCGGTCTGAATGACGTGATGAGAACGTTGCAGTTGCTGACGATTAGATGATTAGGGCTGGTGCATTAAATTGAGAAGGATTTGCCCCAGCAGCTGCAGCAACCTAATAAACCTACTATTTCAGGTTGGCACCACCATCCTGTAGTACTTCGCGTGTCCTCGCAGGCAGTAGTGCAGATGCCCAAGGCAGTATGGGAACAAACGGAAAGTCTGATACAATCACAGTCTCCGGAAGATGAAGGTAAAGTCTCACCATCACTGGGTCAACGACGGATGGAATCGCTGATCTCAGCTTGGATCTTCGTGGCTGCGTGGTCGACGGTCTGCGACATGCGGCGACAAAACACTGTGCCAAGTTCTGTTCAGCGGATCCTCGGGTCTGGTGGATACCACATGGAAAGTGTATCCTTTCAGCTTCTCGAACCCCACCTACCTCTCCCAATCACTTTTTACAGTGCCTTGTGACTGTCGACGTTCCAGAAGCACAGTACAACCCACTTCCTGCCGAGATGAGTCTCATGCAACCATCCTGGCCGGGTTCCGGTCTGCCAAGTATGTCGAGGCAGCGAAAGTGCAGGGGAATGTGGAGCTTGATGTGGTGAAACTCCGGCTTCAGGTTGAGCGTTTGAGCTGGCCCCCTTGTGCCTTTCTCTTTGCATCTTTGCAGAATGGATAATCTAGACGTGTGCTTTGCATTGCCAACGAACCTTAGCCGCCTTGATTGGGAGCACTGCAAGGGAACATTCTGAACATCCCGAGCCCCGGCGAGCCCCGGTGAGCGCTGAACAGCGGGCTGTGCTCTTGGAGGTGGGTGGCAACGAAGTTCTCTGGAGCAGGCCCGTGCGACTGAGGGCGACACTTACGGTCAGTGCAGGGCCTGTAGGGCTTACTTGGAGGTTCAGAGGACTTGGTAAGTGGGGTCACAGGTCCTTTAATTGCGGTCATGAGTAGATATGAAAGTAACCCTACGAGCTAAGTCCCCTGAACCTCCAAGTACTGCAGGGTTTACTGTCCAAATTACCGAGGTTTCATACTGGGTATCACGGCTTGAGGTCCAGGAGTTGATCAGGAGAAGGCACAGGACGTGTGGCATTCCTTTCCTATAAACAAAAAGGGATTGCTGCTGTCCACAACGCCTTCCCAGCCCTGCCGCAGTGCCGTCCAAGCTTTTCATCGCGAATCTTGGGTACACTCGATGCTGCGGGCAGCCTACCCGCAGTTCCTTCCAGGCTTTTCATCGCGGATCTTAGGTACACTCGGTGCTGCGGGCAGGCTGCCCGCAGTGCCGTCCAAGCTTGTCATCGCGAAGCTTGGGTACAGTTTGTGCTGTTCGGCACTGCAGGCAGCCTGCCCGCAGTGCCTTCCAAGCTTTTCATCGCGAATCTTGGGCACACTCGGTGCTGCGGGCAACCTGCCCACAGTGCCTTCCAAGCTTTTCATCGCGAATCTTGGGTACAGTCTGTGCTTCGGGCAGCCTGCCCGCCATGCATTCCAAGCTTCTCATTGCGAATCTTGCGGTACAGTGGTGCTGCGGGGACGTTGCCCGCAGTGTCTTCCATGCTTGTGATCGCGAATCTTGGGTACACTCGGGCAGCCTGCCCGCAGTGCCTTCCAAGCTGTTTATCGCGAATCTGGGGTACACTCGGTGCTACGGGCAGCCTGCCCACAGTGCCTTCCAAGCTTTTCATCGCGAATCTTGGGTGCAATCGGCGCTGCGGGCAGCCTGCCCGCTGTGCCTTCCAAGCTTTTCATCGCGAATCTTGGGTGCTGCATGCAGCCTGCCCGAAGTGCCTTCTAAGCTTTTCATCGCGAATCTTGGGCGCTGCGGGCAGCCAGCCCGCAGCGCCTTCCAAGCTTTTCATCGCGAATCTTGGGTACATTTGGTGCTGCGGGCGAATCTTGGGTACCCTCAATCTGCGGGCAGCCTGCCCGCAGTGCCTTCCAAGCTTTTCATCGCGAATCTTGGGTACATTCGGTGCTGCGGGCACGCTGCCCGCAGTGCCTTCCAAGCTGTTCATCGCGAATCTTGGGTACACTGGGTGCTGCGGGCAGCCTGCCCGCAGTGCCTTCGAAGCTTTTCATCGCGAATCTTGGCTACAGTCGGTGCTGCAGGCAGCCTGCCCGCAGTGCCTTCCAAGCTTTTCATCGCGGATCTTGGGTACACTCGGTGCTGCGGGCAATCTGCCCCGAAGTCGTGCCTTTTCGCTAATCTTGGGTACACACTCGGTGCTGCAGGCAGCCTACCCGAAGTGCCTTCCAAGCATTTCATCCCGAATGGGTACACTCGGTGCTGCAGTGCCGTCCAAGCTTTTCATCGCGAAGCTTGGGTACAGTTTGTGCCCTGGGCAGGCTGCCCGCAGTGCTTTCCAAGCTTTTCATCGCAAATCTTGGGTACACACGGTGCTGCGGGCAGCCTGCCCGCAGTGCCTTCCAAGCTTTTCATCGCAAATCTTGGGTACACTCGCTGCGCGCAGCCTGCCCGCAGTGCCTTCCAAGCTTTTCATCGCGAAACTTCGCGCACACTCGGTGCTGCAGGCAACCTGCCCACAGTGCCTTCCCAGCTTTTCATCGCGAATCTTGGGCACACTCCGTGCTGCGGGCATCCTGCCAGCAGTGCCTTCCAAGCTTTTCATCGCGAATCTTGGGTACACTCGGTGCTGCGAGCAGCCTGCCCGCAGTGCCTTTCAAGCTTTTCATCGCGAATCTTGGGTTCACTCGGTGCTGCGGGCAGCCTGCCCGCAGTGCCTTCGAAGCTTTTCATCGCGAATCTGGGGTACACTCGAATCTTGGATACACTCGGTTCTGCGGGCAGCCTGCCGGCAGTGCTTTGCCTTCCCAAGCTTTTGATCGCGAATCTTGGGTGCACTCTGTGCTGCGGGCAGCCTGCCCGCAGTGCCTTCCAAGCTTTTCATCGCGAATCTTGGGTATACTCGGTGCTGCGGGCAGCTTGCCCGCCGTGCATTCCAAGCTTTTTATCGGGAATCTTTGCGAGATGTTTGTAGGCTACACTAGGAAACCTAGGTAAGTAGCTGCAATATGTAGAGACCAGAGGGTTTGAGCCAACTGTGCTTAGCCTGAGTGCAAGCGACTACCGCAGCCCTCTTTTGAGTGTCAAGACAAAAAGTGAGCCCAATACGCGACCCAACCTCCGCGCATGGTAGCGGAGCTGGTTCGGTAGGCCCCGACGCTCCTAGGGTGCGCGGGCCGAACCGCCACCCGCCAGCCGCCACGTCCGAGTGGTGGGGCTGGTGGGACTGGGACTCCGACTGGAGTTCCCAGTGGGACTGGAGGACCTCCCAGCAGGAGGAGGCCTCTTCCAGCCAGGCACCACAAGGTGCAAAAGGGAGCGGAGCAGCCGAAGCTCCAGCTCGACCGCGCCGCCCTCTCATAGGCGAGCGCACCGAAGCCCCGAACCAAAGCCGGGGCAGACCAGCAGAGCCCGAAAAGGGCAAAGGCAAGACCGGCCCGAGTGCGGGCCGCCCCGCCTCGGAGTCGGGGAGCCGAACCCCCCGACGCGGGGAAAAGGGAGCAGCAGGGAAGCCCACCAAGGGCAAGCCTGCCAAAGGAGCTGCGCAGCCCGCAAAGGGCAAGGCAGCCCAAGCTGAGGGAGCAGAGCAGCCCGCAAAGGGCAAGCCAGCTCCGGCAGGCAAGTCCAGCAAGGGCAAGCCTGCGGCCCAGGAGCCTGCCCAAGGTTCTGGGAAAAAGAAGAACCACCGAGGTGGTCGTTCCCAAGCGGCCCGCGCCAACCGCGAGGCCCGCGGCGCTGAAAGGCGCGAAAGAGAGGGTACAGACCCGGTCGTCCTCGTAGAGGGCCCGGGGACTGATATCCCAGAGCCGCGCACCCCGGAGCAGACTCCTGCAGGTGCCGGCCAGGAGGTACAGAGCCCAAGCAGCTCAGAGTCCTCCTTGGACACTGCACCGGTTAGGGTGCCAGTCTTCACGGGCCCAGCGCCTGGAGAAGACACACCAGACTTCGGGGGAAGCGACTCCGAAGGAGAGCGGGAAGCCCCGCCCGCTGCTGCTGCAGCTTCCTCTTCTAGCGGGGCCGTCCCTGCTAAGAAGGAGGAGCCGGCAGCGCGGGTCGCCCCGCCTGCCTCCGCAGAGGCGGCCGTAGAGCCAGCCGAGGAGGCAAAGCCTGAGGCCTCACCGAAGGCCGCGCTCAAGAAAAGGCGCTCCGGCAGCGAAGGCCCCAACGGTAAAGGCGCCGCCGCCTTGGCTTGGGCCACCGCCTCCGCTTCGGGAGGAACCCAAGGCCGCACAGCCAGGGCCAGCAGTGCGGTACCTCCCGCGCCTCGGGAGGAAGCTCCAGAGGAGGAGCAAGAGCCCACCTCACCAGCCAGCGGTGAGGAAGAGGGAGAGGAGTCCGAAGAGAGCTCCGAGGGCCAAGGGCCGTGCCAGTTCCTCAACGGACTGAGGCACGCAGCGCGCAACAGGCCGAGAGCCCCCTGGGAAGGAAACCCAGAGCTGGCGGAGCAGTACGGAGAAGCCCTGACCTTGCTGGACGAGATCAGTCAGGCTATCTTCGACGCTTCAAGGGATGAGCCAGCAGCCGGCTTATCCGCCTCCGCAGGGCGACCCCGTGGTCGAGGCTCTGCGCGGGGAAGTGGCAACCCTTAGGGGGTTGTTGGAGAGCCAAGCGCAGCAGCTGCAGGCTGCGATTGGCGAGCTGCCGGCCCAGAGACAACAGGGCCTAGCTGCAGCAGCCGCTACGGCGGCAGTCGCTACGGCGGCACCCGCCCCTGCGTCGCAGGCGAGCGGTGGAGGGCACTTGCTCAAGAGCATGCAACTCCCAACCTCCCTTAAGGGGCGAGACGACTGGGAGCGCTTTGCCTTTCAAGCAGAGACCTACCTGGCGGTCGTAGACACCAGGTATCCAGCTGAGCTGGAGGTGGCTCGAAAGTGCAAGGTGCCACTCCAAATGGCAACCATGACCGAGGAAGTGCGGACCCTTAGCGTCCGCCTCTTCGGCATGCTGGGCAGCTGGACCCAGGACTCCGCCACAGCTGTAAAGCTGGCGCGCGGAGTGAAGGGCCAAAATGGGTTCGAGCTCTGGCGTCTCCTGTGGCAGGAGCACAACCCAGAGAACGAGTCCAAGAACCTCACCTGGAGGCGGACCCTGCTGATGCCGAAGTTCCCGCCAAAGGAGAGCGACTTCTCCTTGGCTCTGCAGGAATGGGAGGCAGACGTGGACCGCTACGCCTCCGAGTATGGCGCAGGGCGCGCCCTAGCAGACGAAGATCTGCGGGCAGTGCTGGTGACCGAGAGCCCCAACGCTCTTCGGCAACACCTCGCTATGCACGCGGCGAGTCTTTCGACTTATGCCGAGGTGAGGGAAGTAGTGGTGAGCTACTTGCAAGCCAAAAGGGTCTGGACCCCGAGTGCGGGCTACGCCGCCTCTTCCCGAAGGGACCCTAACGCCATGGACATTGGCAGAATAGGGGACCGAGACGGAAAAGAAGGGAAGGGCAAAGGCGACAAAGGCAAGAAAGGGGACAAGGACCACAAAAAGGGCCGACCACGACCACAAAGGCAAGAAAGGGGACAAAAAGGGGAACCAGCATGGAGGCAGAGACGGCAAAGAGAGATGCCCCATCTGCTGGAAAACGGGGCACACCGTAAAAGAGTGCTGGTTCAACGCCAAGGGAAAAGGCAAAGGCAACAAAGGCCAGGTGGCCCAGGTGGCCGACGACGCGGCCACAACGTTGTCAACAGCCTCCTTGGCGACTGCGGGGCCCTCCGCGTCCCAAGCTGGAGGAAGCACTGGCGGCTCTGGCGGTAAAGGCCAGGTGCGCCAGGTGCGCGACGACCGCATCTTAGGTGTGCGGTTTGCCCCGCCTCACGACACCGAGCCAGAAGAGGACAAAATCCTCAAGGTGTCGGGGAGTCTTCTCGTGGACTCCGGGGCGTGTGTGTCCGTGTGCAGGCCCGAGGCGTTTCCCGACCTGCAGCCCGCGGGCCCACCGAAGAGCCTTTACTCGGTGGACAACAGCCGCCTTAAAACAAAGGGCCGTGTCCAGCCGAGCCTCCTCTTAGGGGAGGAGCGCCAGTCCTGCAAGGTCAATTTTGAGGTGACCGAGGACATAGAGGACGAAATCCTCAGCATCAGCCATTGAGGCCGGTGCGGGCATTTGGCTCCACCGAGAGGACAGCCACATTTTGTGGCCCGACGGCGTCCGAGCCTCGATCCTCAAGAGAGGGTCACAGTTCCTCCTACCCTACGAGCGGGAGCTCCCGCCGGGGTCAACAAACCGGGTGGCACCGGTGGCGGCAGAGCCACCGAGCCCAGGCAAGGACCTGGGACACTACGACTACATCCCGGAGCAGAAGCAGCAGCCGACGAAGAGGCCGAAGCTGCTGAAGAGGAGGAGGCTGCGGGTAACCCCGCCCCTCTAGAGGAGCAGGCCGAGCAGCCTGACTCCAGGCCACGCGGCCTAAGGGCACCGCGCAACCCCACGGCGCAGGAACGCGCCGAGCACGAGCTCACTCACACGCCCTACCAGGCGTGGTGCGAGCCCTCAGATGATCCGGTGACGCCGCTTGTCACCATGGATTATCAGTTCTACAGCCGGGACGGGAAAGAAGTTGAGGAAGAAGCGTCGCTCGCCACGGTGCTGAACCTCACAGACAGGGCCACTGGCTGGACTCTGTCAGTTCCCGTGGCGCACAAAGGGCGCAGACACGCGGCTTACGTCGTAGGGCTTGTGGAGCAGTTGGTGGATTGCCTGGGGTACGACAAGTTCACCCTACAGGCCGACCAGGAGAATGCCATAGCCTCTGTGGCCCGTGCGGTCCACCGCCGGCTTGGAGCTGCTAGGGTGCGTCTTCGGGAAGTTTCTCGCGGGTCACACCAAAGCCAAGGATCCCTAGAGGGAAGAAACGCACACCTAGCAGGTGAGGTTCGCACTTGGCTGTCGCAGCTAAGAGCGGACTACCCCGCATTAGAGTGGGACACCTCGTCCAACCTGTTAGGGGTCTGGGCCGGCAAGCTGGAGCGCGACGACTCCCACGTGGTGCTAACCGAAGCTGCGCACTCAACGTGAGGAGCGTCAGGCGACTTCCGCCGGAAACCCGGCACCAGACGGCAGCCGTTCTCAAAGCGTGCGGCCTGCCTTGGAACCCCAGATTTGGCCGCGCAGCGCCAGCAGCGCAGCGAGCCGATGATGGTGCCAATCCCTCTGGCCACGCCGGCCGAGGAAGTGGAGCGGCTAGAACCGCCCGGTGAGCCCTGGCTCTTCAGCGACGGGCCGCGGCCCGACGACGAGGCCCTCTTAGTCGAAGGGGCCGAGCAGGCCAGCAGGCTCCCGGACGCCAGCCCTACCGAGGAGCTGGCCAACGCAGCAATACCGGACTACGAGCCGTCCGACGTGGAGGCAGCACCTTCCGCAGCAAGCGCGCTGCCGCAGCACATCGCTGCCTTAGCCGACCCGCCGCTCACCAACCGCAAGGCGAGCGGGACGCGTGGGTCGGGCAGGTGACAGACCTGCTAGACCGGATGCTCGACCCCAAGCAGGTCGAGCAGGCACGCAAGGAGCAGCTGAGAAAGCTGTGGGACCGGGGCGCTTTCACGCCTGTGCTGCGGTCTGAAGTACCGCGCGGGGCGCAGCTGTTCAGGGCAAAGTGTCGACAAGTGCGACAAAGGACGGTACAAGTCAAGGTGTACCTGTGCCGACGTCAAGGCCCGCTACAGCCCAGAACAGGAAGCTGGCTTGGACGTTTTCGTCCCAACGCCAACGCCCGAGAGTCACTCCCTACTTGAGGTAGCAGCGCTACACAACGAGGGGTGGGTCACAAGGTCTCTGGATATTGTGGCCGCCTTCCTCATAGGGAAGGACCGCGGTGCGGCGGAAGGCCGCCCGGTCTACATGCACGCGCCTGTGGAGTGGCGCGAGCTCTTTGACCAATGGGTCTTGGAGCAGCCTGTAAAGGACCAGCAGTGGTACCGAGACCACTTCCGGGAGTTTGTGTTCCGAGTGGACGGCAACCTTTACGGCCGAAGAACGGCTGGTTCCGTCTACAGGGACGAGCTGGAAGAAGTCCTCACCGGCAAGCTAGCCAAGGACTACGACTTCCAGCGGGGCGTGAAGGACCCGTGCGTGTACCTAGACCGCCGGTCCGGCCTAATCCTTCTCCACCACATCGACGACATCCGTGTCGCAGGCCCCAAGGCCGCAGTGCTGAAGTTCACGGAGGTGGACCTTCCGACGCACTGTGAGATAACGGTGGGAGAACTGGAAGAGCCGGGCACAGCGGTGGAGGTCCTGGGAAGGACCAAGGTGCGCACAGAGGACTCTATCCTCACTCTGCCCGACAGCAAGCACGCAGAGAATGTGTGCGAGCAGCTGGGCATCGGTCCAAAAGACAAGGGGACCGTGCATAGCAGACCTCTAGACCTGACCAAGGTCGAGGAGCTCTCTGCGGGTGACGCCGCGAGGTTCCGCAGCGCCGTGGGTAGTGCTATCTACCTGTCGGCGGACAGGCGAGACATACAGTTCGCCGTGAAAGAGCTGGCGCGAAGAATGCAGAACCCCAGGGTCTGCGACTGGCTCGCTGCGGAAACTCTCGCGCGATACCTGCGGGCAACCCCGCGGTTTGGAAGGGTAGTTGTGCTGGACCCCGCGTCCAAGAGCACAGCCCTTCTGAACTTGGAGGTCTACTCCGACTCCGACTGGGCAGGGTGCCCAGAAACGAGAAGGAGCACAGACAACATAGTTGCCTGTCTCCGGGGAGCAGTCATCCAGACAAGCTGCCAGACACAGCACGGCCTCCCAGCCACCTCCAGCGGAGACGCGGAGATCCGGGGAGTGTCGCGAGCAGCAAGGGAGGCCGTCTTCCTACGAGAGCTAGCGGAGAAAGACTTCGCCCTAGCCTGCGGCTTGCCGCGGCTCTGGGCCGACTCCGCAGCTTCGATCGGAGCCGCCAAACGCATAGGACCAGGGTCTAAGTTGAGACACCTGGAAGTTGCAGAATTCTATGTACAAGGTGCGCTCAGAGCCAAACTTCTCGAACTGAGAAAAGTTAAGGGAACCGAAAATCCGGCAAACTTCGCTACCAAGCACGCGAAGACTGGACCGGAGGTGCGGCAATCCCTGCCCTCCATAGGCATGGTGGACCTCGATGCGGTCGCAGGCGCCACCGAGGCTCTGGCCCAAAAGGGCACGATCAAGGCGATCCAGGCAAGCCCCTGGAAAATGAGACCGCCGACCAAGCTTGCAAGCTCGGCGCTCATGGCCACAATCGTGGCGCTGCAGGTACGACCTGCCAAGGCCCAAGGGCACGACTTCGCAGAGCTGGTGCTCGGCTTCGCGGCCCTAGGCTTCCTGGCCTTCCTGTGGATGCTTTGGGGTTTAGTCTCCTGGCTCTGCAGGTGCAGACGTGACAGGCAGGAGCCGGAGCCCGAGGATGAGATCGAGCACCACGCCGAGCGTGCCGAAGAGCCGCCGCGTGCAGCTCAAAGGGCCACTGAGATCTGGCTGGGCCAGAAGAAGAAGCCAAACCAGGCGAGGTGGGCAGCAGCCCAGGGGGGCTCAAGAGCCAGAGCCTGAGGGCGAGCGGACCCCAGGTCCGCCCCCTGTGGCAGACGCGCCACCACCACCGCCGCCCGCTGCACCAAGAGTGCGGCGCAGGCGCAGGGGACCGGAACCCCTTTCGGGGGACGACGAGCATCTCTACGAGACAGCCCGTGGTGACAAGATTCATCTTTTCACCAACTGCAATGGGCTGAGCTCCGTCCCGCCGGATCAAATCCTGATCGGCTTTCGCTGCCACTGCGCAGCAGATCCTCAGAACTCCGAGTTCCTTTGGACCGGGTTCGCCTTTCAAGTGGCCACCGGCCGCGTCGTGCGCCGGTACCATGGCCAACAGCGAGGTTGCCCATTCATGGAAGGGGCAACAATCAGACACAGGGTGTGTCTCCACTGCCGCAACGGGCACCAGAGCACCAAGCCCGGCAGTGCGGTGAACAACTCCCGCCAGTGGGTGCCTCCACCGTAAGAGGCCCCTAGCGGGTAGCACCGCAGGGCGAGCCTTTCGGCTGCCAGCCCTGTGCGCGGGACGCTCCGCCCTACCAGGGGCGTCTCACCCTCCGACTGCGGGATGCCCCGTGGGAGGTGCTTTCTCAAACCCCTACCTCTAAGGGGGGTGCGAGATTTTTGTAGGCTACACTAGGAAACCTAGGTAAGTAGCTGCAATGTAGAGACCAGAGGGTTTGAGCCAACTGTGCTTAACCTGAGTGCAAGCGACTACCGCAGCCCTCTTTTGAGTGTCAAGACAAAAAGTGAGCCCAATACGCGACCCAACCTCCGCGCAATCTTGGTTACAGTCGGTGCTGCGGGCATGTTGCCCGCAGTGCCTTCCAAGCTTTTGATCGCCGATCTGGTGCCCAAGGTGCTAAGGGCAGCCTGCCCGCAGTGCCTTCCAAGCTTTTCATCGCGAATCTTGGGCACACTCCGTGCTGCTTGCAGCCCGCCCGCAGTGCCAACTTACCCTCAGTGTCTTGCAAGCTTTTCATTGCGAATCTTGGGTGCACTCGGTGCTGCGGGCAGGCTGCCCGCAGTGCCTTCCAAGCTTGTCATCGCGAATCTTGGGTACACTCGGTGCTGCGGGCAGCCCGCCAGCAGTGCCTTCCAAGCTTTTCATCGCAAATCTTGGGTAGACTCGGCACTGCGGGCAGCCCGTCCAAGCTTTTCATCGCAAATCTTGGGTACACTCGGTGCTGCGAGCAGCCTGCCCGCAGTGCCTTCCAAGCTTTTCATCGCGAATCTTGGGTACACTCCGTGCTGCGCGCAGCCTGCCCGCAGTGCCTTCGAAGCTTTTCATCGCGAATCTTAGGTACACTCGGTTCTGCGGGCAGCCTGCCGGCAGTGCTTTGCTTTCCAAGCTTTTGATCGCGAATCTTGGGTACACTCTGTGCTGCGGGCAGCCTGCCCGCAGTGCCTTCCAAGCTTTTCATCGCGAATCTTGGGTACACTCGGTGCTGCGGGCAGCCTGCCCGCAGTGCTTTGCAAGCCTTTGACCGAATCTTGGGTGCATTCGGTGCTGCGGGCAGCCTGCCGGCAGTGCTTTGCCTTCCAAGCTTTTGATCGCGAATCTTGGGTACACTCGGTGTTGCGGGCAGCCTGCCCGCAGTACCTTCCGAGCTTCTCATCGCGAATCTTGGGTACAGTCCGTGTTGCGGGCAGGCTGCCCGCAGTGCCTTCCAAGCTTTTCATCGCGAATCTTGGGTACCCTCGATGCTGCGGGCAGGCTGCCCGCAGTGCCTTCCAAGCTTTTCATCGCGATCTTGGGTACATTCGGTGCTGCGGGCAGGCTGCCCGCAGTGCCTTCCAAGCTTTTGATCGCGAATCTTGGATACACTCGGTGCTGCGGGCAGCCTGCCCGCAGTGCCTTCCAAGCTTTGCATCGCGAATCTCGGTTACATTCGGTGCTGCGGGCAGGCTGCCCGCAGTGCATTCCATGGTTTTCATTGTGAGTCTTGGGTGCATTCGGTGCTGCAGGCAGCCTGCCCGCAGTGCCTTCGAAACTCGGTGCTGCCGGCAGCCTGCCCGCAGTGCCTTCCAAGCTTTTCATCGCGAACGTGGGTACACTCGGTGCTGCGGGCAGCCTGCCCGCAGTGCCTTCGAAGCTTTTCATCTCGAATCTTGGGTGCTGCAGGCAGCCTGCCCGCAGTGCTTTTTAAGCTTTTCATCGCGAATCTTGGGCGCTGCGGGCAGCCAGCCCGCAGCGCCTTCCAAGGTTTTCATCGCGAATCTTGGGTACGCTCGGTGCTGCGGGCAGCCTGCCCGCAGTGCCTTCCAAGCTTTTCTTCGCGAATCTTGGATACACTCGGTGCTGTGGGCAGTCTCCCCTCCAAGCTTTTCATCGCGATCTTGGGTACACTCGGTGCTGCAGGCAGGCTGCCGGCAGTGCCGTCCAAGCTTTTCATCGCGAAGCTTGGGTACAGTTTGTGCTGTGGGCAGCCTGCCCGCAGTGCCGTCCAAGCTTTTCATCGCGAATCTTGGGCACACTTCGGTGCTGCAGGCAACCTGCCCACAGTGCCTTCCCAGCTTTTCATTTCGAATCTTGGGTACACTCCGTTTTGCGGGCAGCCTGCCCGCAGTGCCTTCCAAGCTTTACGTCGCGAGTCTTGGGTACACTCGGTGTTGCGGGCAACCTGCCCGGCGTGCTTTCCAAGCTTTTCACCGCGAATCTTGGGTGCACTCGAATCTTAGGTACACGCGGTTCTGCGGGCAGTCTGCCGCTTTCTAAGCTTTTGATCGCGAATCTTGGGCGCTGCGGGCAGCCAGCCCGCAGCGCCTTCCAAGCTTTTCTTCGCGAATCTTGGATACAGTTCGTGCTGCGGGCAGTCTGCCCTCCAAGCTTTTCATCGCGTTCTTGGGTACATTCAGTGCTGCGGGCAGGCTGCCCGCAGTGCCTTCCAAGCTGTTCATCGCGAATCTTGGGTACACTCGGTGCTGCGGGCAGCCTGCCCGCAGTGCCTTCCATGCTTTGCATCGCGAATCTCGGGTACATTCGGTGCTGCGGGCAGCCTGCCCGCAGTGCCTTCCAAGCTTTTCGTCGCAAATCTTGGCTACAGTCGGTGCTGCAGGCAGCCTGCCCGCAGTGCCTTCCAAGCTTTTGCTCGCGGGTCTTGGGTACACTCGGTGCTGCGGGCAATCTGCCCCGAAGTACCTTTTCGCTAAGCTTGGGTATACACTCGGTGCTGCAGGCAGCCTACCCGAAGTGCCTTCCAAGCATTTCATCCCGAATCTTGGGTACACTCGGTGCTGCAGGCAGGCTGCCGGCAGTACCGTCCAAGCTTTTCATCGCGAAGCTTGGGTACACTCGGTGCTGCGGGCAGCCTGCCCGCCAGTGCCTTCGAAGCTTTTCATCCCGAATCTTGGGTACAGTCGGTGCTGCAGGCAGGCTGCCGGCAGTGCCGTCCAAGCTTTTCATCGCCAAGCTTGGGTACAGTTTGTGCTGTGGGCAGGCTGCCCGCAGTGCTTTCCAAGCTTTTCATCGCAAATCTTGGGTACACTCGGTGCTGCAGGCAGCCTGCCCGCAGTGCCTTCCAAGCTTTTCATCGAGAATCTTGGGTACATTCGGTGCTGCGCGCAGCCTGCCCTTAGTGCCTTCCAAGCTTTTCATTGCGAAACTTCGCGCACACTCGGTGCTGCAGGCAACTTGCCCACAGTGCCTTCCCAGCTTTTCATCGCGAATCTTGGGCACACTCCGTGCTGCGGGCAGCCTGCCCGCAGTGCCTTACAAGCTTTTCATCGCGAATCTTGGGTACACTCGGTGCTGCGGGCAGCCTGCCCGCAGTGCCTTCGAAGCTTTTCATCGCGAATCTGGGGTACACTCGAATCTTGGATACACTCGGTTCTGCGGGCAGCCTGCCGGCAGTGCTTTGCTTTCCAAGCTTTTGATCGCGAATCTTGGGTGCACTCGGTGCTGCGGGCAGCCTGCCCGCAGTGCCTTCCAAGCTTTTCATCGCGAATCTTGGGTACACTCGGTGCTTTGGGCAGCCTGCCCGCCGTGCATTCCAAGCTTTTTATCGCGAATCTTGGTTACAGTCGGTGCTGCGGGCATGTTGCCCGCAGTGCCTTCCAAGCTTTTGATCGCCAATCTTGTGCCCAAGGTGCTAAGGGCAGCCTGCCCGCAGTGCCTTCCAAGATTTTCATCGCGAATCTTGGGTACACTCCGTGCTGCGCGCAGCCCGCCCGCAGTGCCTTCGAAGCTTTTCATCGCGAATCTTGGGTACACTCGGTTCTGCGGGCAGCCTGCCGGCAGTGCTTTGCTTTCCAAGCTTTTGATCGCGAATCTTGGGTACACTCGGTGCTGCGGGCAGCCTGCCCGCAGTGCTTTGCAAGCTTCTGACCGAATCTTGGGTGCATTCGGTGCTGCGGGCAGCCTGCCGGCAGTGCTTTGCCTTCCAAGCTTTTGATCGCGAATCTTGGGTACACTCGGAGCTGCGGGCAGCCTGCCCGCAGTAACTTCCGAGCTTCTCATCGCGAATCTTGGGTACAGTCCGTGTTGCGGGCAGGCTGCCCGCAGTGCCTTCCAAGCTTTTCATCGCGAATCTTGGGTACCCTCGATGCTGCGGGCAGCCTGCCCGCAGTGCCTTCCAAGCTTTTCATCGCGATCTTGGGTACATTCGGTGCTGCGGGCTGGCTGCCCGCAGTGCCTTCCACGCTGTTCATCGCGAATCTTGGATACAGTCGGTGCTGCGGGCAGCCTGCCCGCAGTGCCTTCCAAGCTTTGCATCGCGAATCTCGGTTACATTCGGTGCTGCGGGCAGGCTGCCCGCAGTGCATTCCAAGGTTTTCATCGTGAATCTTGGGTACATTCGGTGCTGCAGGCAGCCTGCCCGCAGTGCCTTCGAAACTCGGTGCTGCCGGCAGCCTGCCCGCAGTGCCTTCCAAACTTTCATCGCGAACGTGGGTACACTCCGTTTTGCGGGCAGCCTGCCCGCAGTGCCTTCCAAGCTTTTCATCTCGAATCTCGGGTGCTGCAGGCAGCCTGCCCGCAGTGCTTTTTAAGCTTTTCATCGCGAATCTTGGGCGCTACGGGCAGCCAGCCCGCAGCGCCTTCCAAGCTTTTCTTCGCGAATCTTGGATACACTCGGTGCTGCGGGCAGTCTCCCCTCCAAGCTTTTCATCGCGATCTTGGGTACATTCAGTGCTGCGGGCAGGCTGCCCGCAGTGCCTTCCAAGCTGTTCATCGCGAATCTTGGGTACACTCGGTGCTGCGGGCAGCCTGCCGGTAGTGCCTTCCAAGCTTTGCATCGCGAATCTCGGGTACATTCGGTGCTGCGGGCAGCCTGCCCGCAGTGCCTTCAAGCTTTTCATCGCGAATCTTGGCTACAGTCGGTGCTACGGGCAATCTGCCCCCAAGTGCCTTTTCGCCAAGCTTGGGTATACACTCGGTGCTGCAGGCAGCCTACCCGAAGTGCCTGCCAAGCATTTCATCCCGAATCTTGGGTACACTCGGTGCTGCAGGCAGGCTGCCGGCAGTGCCGTCCAAGCTTTTCATCGCGAAGCTTGGGTACAGTTTGTGCTGTGGGCAGCCTGCCCGCAGTGCTTTCCAAGCTTTTCATCGCGAATCTTGGGTACACTCGGTGCTGCGGGCAGCCTGCCCGCAGTGCATTCCAAGGTTTTCATCGTGAATCTTGGGTACATTCGGTGCTGCAGGCAGCCTGCCCGCAAGGCCTTCCAAGCTTTTCATCGCGAAACTTGGGCACACTCGGTGCTGCAGGCAACCTGCCCACAGTGCCTTCCCAGCTTTTCATCGCGAATCTTGGGGACACTCCGTGCTGCGGGGAGCCTGCCCGCAGTGCCTGCCAAGCTTTTCATCGCGAATCTTGGGTACACTCGGTGCTGCGGGCAGCTTGCCCGCAGTACCTTCGAAGCTTTTCATCGCGAATCTTGGGTACACCCGGTTCTGCGGGCAGCCTGCCGGCAGTGCTTTGCCTTCCAAGCTTTTGATCGCGAATCTTGGGTACACTCGGTGCTGCGGGCAGCCTGCCCACAGTGCCTTCCAAGCTTTTCATCGCGAATCTTGGGTACACTCGAATTTTGGGTACACTCGGTGCTGCGGGCAGCCTGCCCGCAGTGCTTTGCAAGCTTTTGACCGAATCTTGGGTGCATTCGGTGCTGCGGGCAGCCTGCCGGCAGTGCTTTGCCTTCCAAGCTTTTGATCGCGAATCTTGGGTACACTCGGTGCTGCGGGCAGCCCGCCCGCAGTACCTTCCAAGCTTCTCATCGCGAATCTTGGGTACAGTCCGTGCTGCGGGCAGGCAGCCCGCAGTGCCTTCCAAGCTTTTCATCGCGGATCTTGGGTACACTCGGTGCTGCGGGCAATCTGCCCCGAAGTGCCTTTTCGCCAATCTTGGGTATACACTCGGTGCTGCAGGCAGACTGCCGGCAGTGCCTACAAGCTTTTCATCGCGAAGCTTGGGTACAGGTTGTGCTGTGGGCAGCCTGCCCGCATCCCAGCTTTTCATCGCGAATCTTGGGTACACTCGGTGCTGCGGGCAGCCTGCCCGCAGTCTTCCAAGCTTTTGATCGCGAATCTTGGATACACTCGGTGCTGCGGGCAGCCTGCCCGCAGTGCCTTCCAAGCTTTTCATCGCGAATCTTGGGTACATTCGGTGCTGCAGGCAGCCTGCCCGCAGTGCCTTCGAAGCTTTTCATCGCGAATCTTGGGCGCACTCGGTGCTGCTGGCAACCTGCCCACAGTGCCTTCCAAGCCTTTCATCGCGAACTTGGGTACCCTCGATGCTGCGGGCAGCCCGCCCGCAGTGCCTTCCAAGCTTTTCATGGCGAATCGTTGGTACAGTCTGTGCTGCGGGCAGGCTGCCCGCAGTGCCTTCGAAGCTTTTCATCGCGAATCTTGGGTACACTCGAATCTTGGATACACTCGGTTCTGCGGGCAGCCTGCCGGCAGTGCTTTGCCTTCCAAGCTTTGATCGCGAATCTTGGGTGCACTCTGTGCTGCGGGGAGCCTGCCCGCAGTGCCTTCCAAGCTTTTCATCGCGAATCTTGGGTACACTCGGTGCTGCGGGCTGCCTGCCCGCAGTGCCTTCCAAGCTTTTCATCGCGAACGTGGGTACACTCGGTGCTGCGGGCAGCCTGCCCGCAGTGCTTTCCAAGCTTTTGATCGCGAATCTTGGGTACACTCGGTGCTGCGGGCAGCCCGCCCGCAGTGCCTTCCAAGCTTTTCATCGCGAACTTGGGTACCCTCGATGCTGCGGGCAGGCTGCCCGCAGTGCCTTCCAAGCTTTTCATCGCGAATCTTGGGTAGACTCGGTGCTGCGGGAAGCCTGCCCGCAGTGCCTTCCAAGCTTTTCATCGCGAACATGGGTACACCCGGTGCTGCGGGCAGCCCGCCCGCAGTGCCTCCAAGCTTTTCATCGCGAATCTTGGTTACACTCGGTGCTGCAGGCAGCCTGCTGGCAGTGCCTTCGAAGCTTTTCATCGCGAATCTTGGGTACACTCGGTTCTGCGGGCAGGCTGCCGGCAGTGCTTTGCCTTCCAAGCTTTTGATCGCGAATCTTGGGTACACTCGGTGCTGCGGGCAGCCTGCCGGCAGTGCTTTGCCTTCCAAGCTTTTGATCGCGAGCGAATCTTGGGTAGACTCGGTGCTGCGGGCAGCCTGCCCGCAGTGCCTTCCAAGCTTTTCATCGCGAATCTTGGGTGCTGCAGGCAGCCTGCCCTCAGTGCCTTCTAAGCTTTTCAGCGCGAATCTTGAGCGCTGCGGGCAGCCTGCCCCCAGCGCCATCCAAGCTTTTCATCGCGAATCTTGGGTACACTCGGTGCTGCGGGCAGTCTGCCGGTACACTCGAATTTTGGGTACACTCGGTTCTGCGGGCAGCTTGCCGGCAGTGCTTTGCCTCCCCAAGCTTTTGATCGCGAGCGAATCTTGGGTAGACTCGGTGCTGCGGGCAGCCTGCCCGCAGTGCCTTCCAAGCTGTTCATCGCGAATCTTGGGTCCACTCGGTGCTGCGGGCTGCTAGCCCGCAGTGCCTTCCAAGCTTTTCATCGCGAATCTTGGGTGCACTCGGTGCTGCGGGCAGCCTGCCGGTACACTCGAATTTTGGGTACACTCGGTTCTGCGGGCAGCCTGCCGGCAGTGCTTTGCCTTCCAAGTGTTTGATCGCGAGCGAATCTTGCGTAGACTTGGTGCTGCGGGCAGCCTGCCCGCAGTGCCTTCCAAGCTGTTCATCGCGAATCTTGGGTACACATGGTGCTGCAGGCAGCTTGCCCGCAGTGCCTTCTACGCTTTTCATCGTGAATCTTGGGTACACTCCGTGCTGCGGGCAGCCTGCCCGCAGTGCCTTCCAAGCTTTTCATCGCGAATCTTGGGTAAGCTCGGTGCTGCAGGCAGCCTGCCCGCAGTGCCTTCGAAGTTTTTCATCGCGAATCTTGGGTAGACTCGGCCGCTCACAGTGCCTTCTCGCCAATCTTGGGTACACTCTGCTTTCATCGCGAATCTTTGGCAGACGAGCCTGCCCGCACTGCATGTTGGATACACTCTTTGCTGCGGGGTGTCCTCCCGCTGCACACAGCTTGCCGGTCGCGCCTCCCTCGTGAATTCACTGCTCGGACTTTGTTTGTGAATTTTGGATGCTGCCGTTCCAAGCCCTCCCTCGCGAATCTTGGGAACACACACTGCTTCGGGCAGCCCCACGCCGCCTTCCAATCGCGAATCCCGGGCACACTTGCCTCTTTTATCCAATAGTCCAATCCTCGCTTTCACGTGCTACGCCACGTGTCTTGTATAGAGTGTGAAGTTTGGGTATCGTTTGACTCGCATTCAGGTCCCTCGACCGTAATCAGTTATAAAGCCGGGCCTAAGCCCATGCAGAGGTTCAGCGAGCTTTGTGCATGGGCCCCAGCGTGACTTCGAGGCAAGCAAGTGCAGAAGCAGATGTGGGAGACAAGATGGACAGAACCGAGTACAACCTAAGCCACACCATTCAAGAGCCAGCCCCTGCAACAGCTGCACACGTGACCCAAGGACAGCGTCCTCGAAGCAGAGTGCCCGCCATGAGCACAGGACGTGAAGCTCATAGGCAATCGTGCTTGTGACGTTGCAATGGCGGTTGGATTCGAAGTGGTTTCGAGTTTGGGATGTTCGGGTTAGGGTGACAGGGCATTGGAGTTTGATGGACTCGGTCTTAGCACCTCCACAGCGTCAGCGTCCCAATTCAAGTACGACTCGCATACTCGAAAGTCAACCACCCGCTCAGGCTCGTATTGCTGCTGAGTGGCAAGGCAAGAAGCACAGACCGAAGATGCTGTAAAGACAAGAGGGACCCTTGCGAAGGTGCAGTGACAGCTTCGCAGATTGAATGGCTTCCAAATCATCCCGAAACCTGTTGGAAGTTTCTCGAGGCCGCACATCCACGCCACGCGACCCCGGTTTAGCTCCCTAAGCATTCTCCCGCGTGCCGGCAACTCTTGAGTGCGTTTATGTAGCACAAGAAGAAGCCTAGAGTTCTAGAATCCCGGAAGACCGGCGAAGGCGTTGCAATCAAATAAAAAATCGTCGAAGTCCGGAGGTCAGCATCGCCAAGCCAGGCTTGCCTGAAGGCCGGACGGGATGTTTTGCGTTCGCGATGAATGCTTTTTTTCTGCGCTCGGGTGCCCCAAGCCTCGAGACGTGACTCGTCACTCCCAGGGGAGAAGCTGCACAAGGGCGGCGTGGCGGCCACCCAAGTGGATGAGTTTTGCTGCACGCTTGAGGGTATGGGGACAGCTCAGGTTGCGGTCAGAGTTTCGTTCGGTTGCAAGGGCCCATGAGCTGGAGGCTTTCCCGAGGCCTGGACAAATTTGGGCGTCGCTGGGTTTGTGCTCCCAAAGAAGACTTTACGAGCTTAGCCGTTCATTTTAACCCCTGCCCCTTCGCCAGCTAATGCATGAAACAGAGAATGTTTCAAGATGACAGGGCTGTTTTGATGTTGGTCAGGGCAGTGAAAGTGTGCGGATGGGACCGAGGGCTTGCTTCCGTCGTACCTGCAGTGGCTTCCCTGGAACCACAAGACCTCACTGACCTAACTTCTGGTTGCGAAAATGTAGGCATGTACGCATATCCCTACAGTTTCACGAGGCGCTGAAGCCCACACAAACGCTACATGGACATGCGCCATGGCCCAGCGGCTGGATACTTTGATATTCAACGGCTATGCTTGCATGGCTCCCTTCTGCCAGAAGCTGTTTTGGAAGTGGGACGAGGCAAAGCGTCACATGCATCACGAGTGTAGGGCTCTTCCCCGTTCAGCAAAGCGGCCAAAGCAGGTTGAATCCATCAGGAAGGCACTGGACATTGGTCGCAAGCACAGGGAAGACCATCCCGAGCTCAAGGACGATGGATTCATTTTTCTGAATGCACATGACTCAGCGCCGAGGAAGCCACGGGAAGTGGGTCGAAAGCAGAGAGAAGACAACCCCGAGCTGAACAACGATGGTGATGCAGACGGCGATGTACGGCAAGATGGAAAGTCCCAGGGAGCCCCGACCATCGAGCCCTTGACTGCTACTGCTCCTCCAGCAGCTCCTCCGACAGGAAAGCCATCAGATCAGCTGAACACCTCGATATTCAATGGCTATGCTTGCCTAGGTTGTGGCTGCCAGGCTATGTTTTGGAAGTGGGAAGAAGCAAAGCGTCACATGCTCCAGGCATGTGCTACTTTTCCCCGTTCAATCAAGCGGCCCAGGGAGGCTGAATCCATGAGGAAGGCACTGGACATTGCTCAAAAGCAAAGGGAGGAGCATGCCGAGCTGAACGACGGGGTAATTTCTGTAAGTTCAGACGACCCGTTACCAGGCGAGGTTGCAATCCCGGAAGCCCGAGCGGTCGCGCCGTCAACTGCACCGCCCCTTCCGAAGCCATCAACGGTGGCAGACTTCAGGAATGCGGCAAGGACTGGAGGCCCATCGCAGGGAGTCCGTCCACAAAGCAAGAAGCGTCCGCGCTCTTCGAAGATCCCAGCGGTACCTCCGCTGCCCGACTCGGCAACAGCGGACATCTCCAGGCTCCAGATTGTTCTTTGGGAAGAAAGCGCGGCTGGCGCCGTTCCACCGCCCGAGGCCGAGCCCAAGTTGCTCCTCGCCGCCCCGCCGCCTCCTGGCCACCTTGGCGGCCCTGGCTCTTGCGGACCGCAGGGCCTGCTGCAGTCTCCGACCTTAGCCTTCTTCCATCCCGGTCCCGGTCCGTTGGGTGCCTGCCCTTCCTGGTAGTCTTTGGCTTCTAGTCGGCTTGAGCTTGAATTTGCCGCGGAGCAGGCGCGAATCTTCGGAGCTTCGTTTGCTAATGCCAAAAAAAGCTTCGGTGGGCCTGCCCTAGCTGTCGCAATGTTACGTATACTGGTTACGTATCAGTCCTCTAAAATCGCGGGGTGCGCAGTTGTTTTACGGGTGTGTGGTGCACTTGTGCTTAACTCTCCGAGATGCTCGCCAGGGCTGCGGCTGTGTGTTTCCAGAAACTCGTCTTAGCTACACCTCGCTCGCATATGCCATTTTCAAAAGACCCCCGAAGAGCGAGGTGTCGAACAAAGATGATGCATACTGCATACTCTATCTGAAGGCTCCACCTCAGGGGTTCACCTGCAGAACTGCAAGGTCAGTGCAAAGAATCCAGATGTTCTGGGCGTCGTCGTGGAGCAGGACGCATCGCGGTCAAAATCCTAATGCGGGAACCGTGTCTTCTCGCTTGCCCACATTAGCCACAGAGACACACAAGGAGTGCTCCCTGCTCTACGTTGACATGCCACGGCTGGAGCAGGCAGGGGCCGCTTCAAATGGTTCCGGAGCTGTGCAGAAACGCTGCACTGCATTTTGTCACTAAATTGTTGTTTGCTCGTTCTAGGTTCGCATGTTCAGTGCTGGGATGTGACGACTGGTAGCTTTTTGCGGAGTGGTGCGTCGCAATGGAGTGGCTGGTCCTTCCAACAAGCCTCGGGGGCCATGTACACTTCCAAGCATGACTTGTGCCGTAGCCGTTTCATTCAGGACGCAGCGAACCGACCGTGAGCAGTACGCACGGTTTACAGTGTATCAAGCACCGCAGACCGGCGCTTTGCTGATCGCTCCTACATCAACACACGCCTCGGTGCATTTGTGGGTGCATGCATGGGCGGTGTATGCATGTAATTAAGTAAGTAAGGTATGTCAGGCATGTAGGGCATGTTAGTCTGTCCGCCTGCTTGTCTGTTTGCCTGCCTGCCTGTCTGTGTCTATCTGGCCACACATGGTGTGGGTATGTTCGCATCTATGAATACCTTGAGCACCCGCAAAAGCATAACAGGTGTTTGAAGGCCCGTGTGTTGATTTGACCGTTTGCCATTATGGGTGGGTAGGTGTCGGCGCATGTACTAATGAAGCGACTGCACCATATTTCTCAGAGTTTCCAGCTGCCGCCACAGGACATGGCCGATTCCCGAGCAGCACGCGAGCAGGCACTGTGGAGAAGCAAAGTGCCACAGAAAAGGTGTGCAGTTGTATAGACTAAACACACTTCCCATGCTAGCTCCTGAACAGCTGCATGCCAAGGCTTGCTCATTGTGGGCACGCTGACAAATGGAATATGCAAGAGTCCAGACCGGACACTCAGCTCCAAGCAAGAATAAGTATCCGATCTCACACCGAAGTGAAAACTGCCAGGGCCAACTGCCTTCGACGACTGAACCCCTGGCCCCTCGCTTCTTGACCTTAGCTGCTGTCCGAGAGGTGGAGCGCGAGCTGCGCAGGCCCAGCCGCGGACAGGGGCTTCTCATGAGGGATCTTTGGGGCTCCCCGGGTGAGGGTGCCAGAGTCCTTGAGCGAGCACCTGGAATGACTGAAGCATTTTTCAGCTTCAAATCGCTTGCTCAAAGCCCTCCCATCATCGGAGCCATGTCTCAGCCTGTCGCCCTCTCCGCCTCTTGGCAGAAGGTGCTGTGCAGTTGGGGGCTTTGGGGCCTAGAGTTTCGCTGCCATTGCCATAAGCCGGGTTCACAACTGAGACCTCGTGCAAATCCCTTCTGCGATTTTGCTTCAAGAAAGGCGGTGCTCGGCGCTGCTGCGCTGGGTGGATGTGCGTTCTTGGCACCAGGCAGCTCCTAGACATACAGGGCCGTCTGGCGCAGGTTCTATGGTGCTGTTAGCCCCTGCACCTAACTTAACAAGTACACCAGAAACGATGCTTGCAGCTCCTTGCAGCTCCTGCGGTCCTACGGCGTTTCTGCTACGCGGCTCAGGAGGGCAGACAGAATCTTGACCCGACTGCAGGCACCTCGCCGGAGGCGCGCGCCCCTCGAACCCTGCGCGGCGCCTCCCAGGCACGGAGCAAAAAGAAATATGAACACATACTAGGACGAAGATGATTTCGGGTGTTGGTTCCAATCGCACTGGAGCACGGCTTTTAAATGCAATCCGGGGTGCTCCGGCTGCGAGTAGGGAGTGTTTCGAACGCGCATAGCAGCGTCCAACTCAGGCATAGCTGCACTTAGGTCTCGAGCCTCTGCCCCGCTCCCTTACTCCTCTCGCTTGAGTTACAGCGAGATCCGGTCACCGAAAAGTAACTATAACGTGTCTAGTAGACGGTTTAGATATGTACAAATTCAGCTGGCAACAGGCTCCTCAGGGCGCTGCCTTCGGCAGCGCTGCGCCTTCTGCGCTCATGGGAGCCGGGGTGGCGGCGGCCTTGGCCTCAGAGTCCGACTGTGCACGACGGTGGGCTGCTTCAGCACAAGTCTCACTTGCGGGAATGCATAGGAGAAGAAAGTCTGACGTGATTGCTTCCTCTATCCTTTGCTTGCATTAGGACCCGATACTCCTCGAAAGGGGTCTCGATCTGACGGTCGGTGAGCTCTCGCCAGGCCGCGGTCACGGCCTGCAGGGCTGCAGCGGTGAAGAAGAAGGGTGTGAAGGCGGGGAAGCCCTCAACATGAGGTCTTACGGAACTCACTATCACCAGCGTCGCCATCACAGAAGCTAGCATGTGCAGGTGATCCATGGCAAGGAGATCCCGTGGAACCTCTTCACACCTAAGGCGCCCTACCAGGCCAAGGTGCGGTCCTCGCGCAGTGCTGCAAAGATGCAAAGTGCTGCTGTGAAGTGATGTAAAACCGGTTCAGTATGGAGGACAGCCCCCAACTCAGAATTTCTTCCATTGCCCACCACCACCACGTACCACAGCCATGGCCCCATAACCACTTCCTGCTTTTACTGCGGTTTATGCTGCGGCTGCCACGGTTTCACTGCTACCACGACCTGCAGGGCCAACGATATTCCAGATCTTCCGCGTAAAACTACAGGAAATCGCAACGATGCGAATTGTCCGTGCAAGCCGTGCCGAGATTGTTTCCATGCCGACATGTTGCAAGGGTGGCTCTTCCCCATCAGGTGGTGCCGAACCAGAAGCACCCTCAGACATTGACAGAGGACACCCAAGATCCGGCTAGATAGACGGATGGCTGAGTCCTTGGAGCAGTAGCTCGGTGCAGGACACCGGCGATGCCAACTGGGAGACGACACATGCGACTCGGCTTTGCGACCTTGTCTTCCAGTTGAAGAGCGAATGAAGCTTCAAATTCGGAACGTCCATCCCAGGACCCAGAGCCCGACCTGTGCCTTGCCAGGTCACCTTCGACCACGATGGCAAGGTGCCCTACATTGAGGGACAGTCCATCGGCGTCATTGCTCCAGGACGGGCGCAACAAATCAGGTCTCAAGGGGCGCAGAGAAGGGTGCTGACGAAGATTGTTCGACAGGTTGATGTGGGAACGCAGTTTCCATTGCTGCCACGGAAGTCTCCAAACCAAGCCTGGAGCAGACAACCCCGCAACGAGTCACGGTTTTGAGGACCCGACAAGAAGGGCGAGACGCCGGCCAGGCAAGATGTGCACTTCGCAAGTCCGTTCGGGCCAAGGCTTCAGGATCACAGGGTCAAGTAGGCAACTAAACTGACCCTTTTGAACCGCTTGGCGCATGCAAAGTTTGGGGCGAGTGCCTCGTCTTACGGAAGAAATACTCGGATCCCGCCAAGGATCTAAGATCGCATGGTGACAGGAGCCTGCTTCAGTCAAGCTTGTAAGCAATGCTCATGTTGCAGGATCCGTCTCTACTCCATCGCATCCTCCGCGGTCGGCGATGACGAGACCTCGAAGACGGTGTCCCTTTGCGTGAAGCGCGTGGTGGAGGCCAGGCTCGGGGCGAGGCTTCGGGGGGCCTCAGAAGCCAAAGCCGCGGGCACAGAGATCGAGGCTTTCGTTTGGGCCTTCCGCGTCAAAAAGCATAAAGTGCAGAGAACCCACAAGACCACAAGATGCAGAGGTGTGCGAGGCTCAAAGGCCCAGAATGCAGCGCGCCAGGTGGATGGGAAGTTCGCCAACCGCGAAGTCGGAGAGGATTCCGGGGTGTTTTGAGCTTCTGAAGATTCCGCATTCCAGAAGGAAACGTTCCAGTTTGCGGTAGTGACGGTAGTGCAGTAAGCAGGACAAGCCAGACAAAGCTGGCACCGCCTTCCCCGACAACAAGGCAGGTGCATGTCCTGAAGCGGGGCAGGGATCAGTTTCTTCACCGAGCGGAATCGCAAAGATGGCAAAACTAGTAACTAAAGCAGAGGTCTTGTCATAACGGTAAAACCTCCTCAGCTAAGGGCTGCTCCTGGTGTGTGGTGTTCGTAAGCCAAAATGAGTACCAGAGTAGTACCAAAAAAACCTACATGATTAGTTAACTATACTATTTTGTGGGCTCCTTAATATAATTATGGTATACACCAAAACCCTATTCGAATTCAATTATTCAGGCCCCTGTATTAGTTAGCCTCCTTCCGCAAGGTGCCCGCTCAACGGATCGCTCGTTTGAAGCTTTTTGAGCCGTTTCTTTCGAATCATGCTGCTGTCAATCCCAGATCGAAGTTTACAGTCATTGTCTTTCATTTTGGCTCGTGATGGCCAAGATTGCAATTTAAACAAACTCTTCGGGCTGCAAGCTCCGGCAACTGTCAAATGTCCAAGCTACTGTAACTTTAGACAGCTGCTTGCGCTATGCGCCTCAATCGCCGATGCAGGTCTACCGTGGCGTGTGCTCCAATCACATTTGCGACCTGAGCGTGGGTGATGATGCCGCGCAGCCGCGAGAATCATCAAGATACTTTAGGACTGCAGGTCAGGGCAAGATTGTTTGGCTTGGCTCCCTGTTTGGAACCATGTCGCTGTGAACGATCGTCAGTAGACGTGAACGCTCAACAATCAGACAGTCTTTCGGGATGGGATGTTATGTGCCACTTAGGAAGGCCGAAGGCCACTAGCCCGGGTCAAGCATCTTCCGAGCCCAGGTGATGATCACTGGCCCCACTGGTGCGGAGATGCTGCTTCCGGAGGCGCATGTTGGCCGGACATAACTTGGCCAATAACTAAGTTTTCCTCGAGCCTTGATTGGGGGTTCACAGGGTCCGCACATGCTGTAGAACAGATGGTTCCCCCTAAAGGGAAGGTGGGAGGCGATTAAGGACTGCCGTGCGTCGGGGCGCAGATGGTGAAATTCATGATGCTAATGTGGGAATGAGGAGAAAGATCGAGACTGACAATGCTTATTTATTTTGACCATCACCAACACTCTGCTGCTCAAGAGGTGGTGCGTTAAGAAGATACTGCACTTATGTGCTTTCAGTGCGGAAGCGCTTCTGTACTGCGAAGGATCCGGAGGCCAACATTGTCATGCTGGCCACAGGCCACCCTCTGTGTGTGCCTGTCTATTGCATGAATTCTATGCCAGGGTTGTACGCTCTTGCTGGTTATGTCACCCCGGCAGTAGCATCCTACATTTCAACCTGGTTAGCTGTCATTGTGAGCGGGGATTTCATGGCAGGAACTGGCATTGCCCCCATGCGTGCGTACTGCCGCTACCTCTTCAACGACAAGGTGCCCAGGTTGACCCGTGAGCCATGCTGAGGCTCTAAGCTCTGTGATGTGCTCAGCTTGCATCTCATCTTCCTGAAGCTTCCGGAACTCCTCATCCCTGTAATCCTTCGAACAGAACGTTCCCTGAGCAAGCAAAGCAAGCACAAGGTGGCTGCCGAGGGCGACGGTCGGAAGTTCAAGGGCCTGGCTTGGCTCTTCATGGGCGTGCCTACGGCTTTACGATAAGATTCAGATGTTGCCTGTCGCTGGGTCAGGAGCAAGTCACTTGAGGGTCTGACAGCTTGTTTGAACGTTGTCGTTCATGTCGTAGTTTGCTTGAAGGGCAAACCACAGCATGAGACCTTGTGGTCCCGTGCTTTTCTGATGCTCGACGTGGTGCAACAGCCCTTGTAGTATGCGCCTAATAGCATGGACACGCAAGGATCTTGCGTGAAGACGCTTGCTGCGTGGCTATAGCGAGCTTAAAACCGACTGTGCCGAGGTGCCCTACAGCAAGTCGTTGCTCTATGATGACGAGCACCAGGAAACGCGCCTTCGGTTGAAGGGTTCACTTTACGGCTTTGGGTCTGTGGAGTTTTTCACTCTTAAGATGGTGTCCCGAGCTCCGGTTTCGTTTCTTGCCGCTTTCGCTCCTTCCACCCGCCTTGTAGCTATGTGGAGCTGGTTTATGCAAAGGTTTAAAATCAACAGGCACTACTTCGAGTTATGATGTGATGAACATACGACCACCCTCGGCTTCACACCAAATCTGATGCAGGAGTACGTCTCCAAGTACCCGGACCAGTTCCGCTACGACTACGCCATCAGCCGCGAGCAGACGAATGCCGCAGGACAGAAGATGTACATCCAGACGAAGATGGCTGAGCCGCTTGCCTCCTTTTCAACACAGACTCTCTCCCACGGCATGCTTTGAACGAGGATGCTGACGATTGTGTTTACGATTCTCAGCCAGGGTGGCCTACTGACCTACTGGTTGTGAGACTAGCAGCCATGTTATACGTCGGAGTCTCCTTCGAGTTTGGTGGATCTTCGTTGCACTGCCCAAGGTACGCCGAGGAGCTTTGGGAGCTGATGCAGGACGAAAAGACCCACATCTACATGCGCCTTCGCTTTCGGCGCATGCAGTATTCTTCTTGCTGGGTGCCAGGGTGCGGTTTCCTTGAGAAGCTGCTTTGTAGCAGGGTGCAAGACGCATGTTCTCAGCCTCCACGTTGTGAGATGCTTGGTCACACGACCTGCCAGCCTGCTGCTGCAGCAATCGGCGTCCATGATTCCCCGAACCACTGTGTTTTATGTTTAGTCCCAACCCCTTTCCAGCCTCGCTGCGACGCTCAAAGGTGCGGCCTGAAGGGCATGGAGTCCGGCATGGCAGAGTGCTTCAGCCCGATTGCGGAGAAGTATGGCAAGGAGTGCAAGTGCACTTCGTGCGAGGTTTGCGGTCAGTAGAAGTGTGGGCCTGTTGGCATGTGACCATCAAAAAAGACACGCCGTGCTACGGTTGGCAGATGCCTGCCGTTGCAAGAAGCCAGGGACCTCTCGTCTGGCAGGACTGGGCCGAGTTCGCCAAGGCCATGAAGAAAGCCGACCGCTACCACGTCGAGGTCTACTAGAGACCGAAGCCTGCCGAGCCTGCGCTTGCGCCATCACTGCAGGGGCTCCTGGGGTCACGGGTTTCCTCTGAAAGTCGGTAGAGCCTGGGCAGTCGAAGCGAGTCCAAAAATCTTGGAGCCCCGAGCCTGCGAATCTGGTTGCTTTTTCTCCCCGGTCGCGACCACTTCAGAATTTGGAAAGTGGTGACCGCGACACCGTGGCTTCTCCAACACCTGGACCGAAAGCATGCGAAGCAGCAGGCGTAGGAGTTTGCTCCCCTGCTCCCTTTGCCATAATCGCCGTGGTTGGAGAAGTCCAAAACCCGAACAGTCTCTCAGCTGTTCAGACGCTCTCCTGGTCTCGAGGGCTGTGCCATGTCCGGCCTCAATGCTGGAAGCCTCGTAAAGCATGTAAGTCAGATTGGAGGGCCCGGACATGTTAAGCACACGCCCTCTGACGCGCATTGAAAAAGAGTTGCGAACGCTCCAGTCCTTGGACAGCTGCAGACTGCTTCAACAGCCTTCAGAGCTCTGAGCCGCAGGGGTGGCTTGGGCCGTGCAGCATTCAATTTGCCATGACAGTCATACGCCTCATGTCCACCATGTGTGCCAGGGGCAGGCAGCCAGCGACGTGGCCTGAGGTGTGGGAGTGAAGGGACATGAAGGGACCGTTGTGTCTGCTTGCATCATGCCAGGGCCTGACCTGCACACACTGACACATCGACCGAGCTTTGTGGGGGAAGTGGGGCAACGTTCGGAACTGTGCCTGGCCGCACAACCCAGCTGGAAGTGTTCCTCAAGCAATCCCGCTTCTGGACTAGACCAAAAAAAGCCCACATGCTTCTACTTCTTGGTTCAGGAGCTTATCAATCAGCTGGTCGCATCCATCCGTGACCTTCCTTTCTTTGAGGCCTGGGCGGGTGAGGTTGATGTTTGCCGGGCTCGTCGGCAACCTTAAACTCAAAGAGAAGTATCAAAAATCCTGTTGTGTGACAGGCAGGACAGTCTCCGCGGTGAGCTCATGCTTTGTTGTCGTGAAAGCATCCAAAAAACAGTTTCATGGCTGCTAAGAACGGCCGGCTCTTCCTTACTTACGCCACCAGCATCACCACCAGCAACAGCGACGTGACCAACTGCAGCGTCAGGGTCAGCAACAACACTAGCAACAGAAGTAGCAGAAAGATGAGAACTTGAGAACGATTCGCCAGTATCACCATTCCCCAGCTCATCTTCGAACTTCGGAGGGCAGTGCTTCGCCACTTAGCCCCGAGAGCAGGACTTCGCTTTGCCGCAGCTCCGGGGTTTGGCCCGGGGCCTCCGCTTCCAGAACGCCAAGAACGGCTCGGGGGCCCAGGGTTCGGGGCGTGATCCCTTTCGAGAAGTAGGCCAGCCATGCAGCAGGACTGCTTTCAGCTCCGTCTTAGTTTGCTTTGAGCGATCAGGTGAGGCGCTGCCGCGGCCTCTCCACCTGCCGGCCTGCCAAGGGCTGGAGCTGTCGGTAGTGGGTCGTCTAGTGCCTTCTAAGTCTTGAGGCGCCCAGAACCAGAACTCCTAAGTCCGAAGAAAGTCGGAGTTTGAGGGTCGTCGTTTCCTGTGTGCGAAGTCTCTCGGTTTTTGGGCAGCCCACGGTCGAGCCGGAGCCGCCCTCCCTGGTGGTCCTCTGGGCAGGCCAGGGGCCCAGAGGCGCAGGAGGCGGAGGCCTTGCTTTGCTTCTGAACTTCGGGATGTTGAGGGCTTGGGGAGCTCCAGCTCCTTTGGGGCCTTGGGAACAACAGCTCTCTTCAGTGTGAAGCTCCCGCACACACAGAATCAAGAATTGTCGAGAGATCTCAAGAGAAGTTGCATGGATGTGCGGGCTCAGGCAAAGCCGGCCGCGGCCTAAGCTGGTCTCAGCCAATGGTGTTGTTCCGAAGCGTTTCGTTCTGTTCATGCAAGCGCATGAGCAAGCCATTTGGGGACAGCATCGTCCGCTTCTGCTGCGCGCACCACCAGCCACCAGCAAGCAACAAATGTACTGAAGGACGTTTCGGTACACTCAGCTGCGAAGTGACGACTGCACATCCTCGCGCTCTAACCAACACCCGAACCCGGAGCAACCGCAAGTCCAAGCCGCGACAAAGCAAGTGGCTTCTTCCCAGCCTCGAGCGGCAGCCCGAGGCAAGTACCGCCGCGTTTCGGCCGCGGGAGAGGAGATCATTGCAGCGCAGCGGCGCGGCGGAAAATGATCATCGGGGGTGCATCCTGTCGTGAGCAGGTGTCATTCGGAGGCTTTGGGTCCTAAGCTGCGAAGTATCGCACCGCCGCCTCTCGCTCAGGATCGATTTGCTGGCAGTAGAGCAAGGCGCATACAGGGACGATGGGAAAGCCAGGGGGCGGGACGAAGAAGAGGACTTTCGACAACATGGCTTCCAAGTTCAACCGCGGATAAAGGGGACCGTTTGAGGGACGATGGGAAGCCAGGGGGCGGGACGAAGAAGAGGACTTTCGACAACATGGCTTCCAAGTTCAACCTCGGATAAAGGGGACCGTTTGTTTATGGAATTTGCATGTCAATGCTCGATTCAGCTAGCTGTTCGAACGTTTCTTTTGCTGTAGAAGCTCCCCGACATGTTGCACACCTTGAGTTCGTGGAGGTGCCAAGAAGACACAGAAGACCGGCACGCCCAATGCTGAGCAAGATTACACAGTGATCTCCGATCCTGATTGGCCATGTTACAGTCCGTGCCTGCCGTGCCTCGCGCCGAGCATCATCAGCTGAGGTTGGTTTCGCCGTCCCCAGGCGAAAAGACTGAAAAGAAGGAGAGTGCTGCAGACCTGAAGCCGTGAAACTGTGCAAAAGAAAAGGCTGTGCTGTTGTACTTCCGAGTTTGCAGGCAGTATGCCAGTGGGATTTCTCAAGGCATGGCTTGGCGACGGGCGTTTTCAAAATTTTGCATCATGCTGAGCTGGCAAGTTTACACCTCCACAAGACCCGAGAGGCTTTAGTCATCTCTGGATCCAAGCATGTCTGACACCTTCCCGAAGGGGGTGTGCAAGGACGGAATGCTCCACGACCTCGTGCCGGACCTGCTGGACGACGAGGTGCCGCCCGGCGGCACGGAGCAAGAGGTAGCCGCGGTAGCCTGCCGAGCGTGAGTGACAACAAAAAATGCCTTACTCTCATCGGAGCGACTTCATGCCAAGGAAGCCCGACAAAGAGGATGGAAAGATCTACCTGAAGCGCTACGGCGACCTGCAAAAAGGCGCATGTGCACTTAGCTATAAGACGTAGTGGAAGTGCTATAGAGGTATTCCTGATATTGCAGAAGGCTTGTTTTTGATAAGGCGGTTAAGGGGTTGAAGGTGGAGTTGAAATTTGGGCGGCGATTGGAGCTTCGGCCTGCAGTTCTGTCCGCACAGCCCTGGTGAGACCCTAAACTTCTGAGGCTTCGTCCTGGGCCAGCGGGACATCGTCGACCCGGGAGGCCACGGCCGTCACTTTGTCAGTTTGAGGATCAGGAGGAGAGGAGGAAGAGGGGTCTCAGCGAGGCATTGGGTGCGTCTTGCCGGGTGGTGTTCATCCAAGTGTTGTGACAGCATTGTAGCACTCTCGCAATTCGAGCTTCCGTAGGGCCCGCCATGCACGAGCCCACAGTGCGATGCGAGGGCCGCTGCAAGGCGCACCACGGGCCTCCTTTGGGTCTTTGAAGGAGATCTCCGGTTTCCAGCTGCTGGAAGACACGCATGGCCCGGGTGTTGCAGTCTCACCCTCCCTAAATGCTGTGAGATTCTGCGCCTGACGCGGCGCGACTATCTGCATTGCCTCAAGGAGATGCAGGCAGGACTTACAGATGGTAGGACAAGTCGAAGGCAGCAAGTAGATGGATGAAACAATGCCACAGTATGGGTCCATCTCAGTGGAGCTCCCTTCAGATAATCATTCCGAAAGGCCGCCTGTGCTTCTGTGAAGCAGCGGGTGCTGCAGGTGGAGAAGCACCGAATCGTGCACGCGCTGCGCAACATCCCTCCCTCCAGGCCGGGGCCTCGCGGGGAGGCTTGGAGTTGGCTTGCTTGGGTTTTCGAGTTTGAAGGTTCCTTTGGGTTTGGGGCAGCTCCGACTACCTTGACATCGCCTTGTGCACGTTCGCTGCTGATGGAATCCTTTCGATTCTGGCCAGTGCCATCGGAATGTCCGCATGGTTTGCTAACCCCCACCGGACCTCGAAAGCACATTCCTTCCACACCTGTGCAAACCGCAAACCTCTGCCTGATGAAGGTCCCGTAGCAGTAGCCGCCACTGTCACATATTATTCCTTGCGAGAGACGAAGCAGACAGGCAACATCTAGAGGAGGAAGACTTGACATGTTGAGCTACGCTGAGAGCTTGGTACCCAAGAGCCCAGCCTTGCATGACTTGTACAAGATGCTACTCATGCAAAAAAGAAGCAGAACAAGGCATACAGACGCTTAAATCTCGGAAGGCCAGGGGAGCCCCATCACCGCTCCGAGGAGCAGAAGACGGGCACGAAGAGACGAGAGCTAACACCAACGGTAACTTCAGTAGTATGAGCGTGTAGATTCGACGCAGTGGTTGTGGTCAAGAAGGTCACAGATATGGTTACCGAATGGTTTGTTCCTGGCTTCCGGGGGCGTCTGGAGACAGGGTCCGAAGAGGTGTATGAGCAAAACAAAGTTCATCTAAAAACGTGTATTGTGTCGTTCGGCTGAGGTGGATGGGTTCGTAGCTAAGCTTATGACTGGCCTGGGGAAGCCGTTGGATTCGATACCTTCTCGCTATGCATGCCGATCCCTCCCGGCTTCGGCTTCGAGACCTTTCAGCATGTTGGGTGTTCATGTTCAGGATTCTCGGCCAATCCTACCTCGGACCTAGCTGCCGATAATCTTCTTCTGCGTCGAGATGTCTAGTGCCATCCCTCTTCAGGAGATTCTGATCGAGTTGCATTGTTTGGGCGGCTCCCTACTTCTTGGTGACGGCGTCACTAACAACAGCGCGGCGACAGCAGCAGCCAGCAAAAGGCAAACCCAACAAGTTGGACAGAAGAGGCAAGAGTAAAAGGATCCTTGTCCATGTGTCCCACGGTCAGTGAAAAAGTATCCCCGGCCACAAAATGTCCGCAGTCCGGAGCATCAACTAGGGCTCTTGCTGTTGCTGCTTGTGCTCTGCTTCGGTGATCCCTTTCGAGATTAGTCCGGAAACTGGGGCACGCTACCGTTCTTGCCAGCAGTTTCCGAGAGTCATGGTCTCCTAGGCAATGGGACTTGCAGTATTTGTCAGTGCGCCGGCGACATATCCATGACTGGAGCTTCTCAGCAGCCCAACTCAAGCCAAGAACCTAAGAGCTGAGGCAGAGGTTGTACCTTTAATGAAATAAATGCATGAACGAACGAATGAAACGAAGGGTTAAATGAATGAATGGATGAATGAATGACACGAATGATTGAGGTAACTGGATGCAGATAGGTCAAGCTCAAACCAAGATAGGAGTTGGCTCCGGCTGTCAGAAGTAACTGAGGCGATACGACAAGCACTCCTGTCCACAACCATGTGCTTTGAGAGTGCCCAAATTCGCAGCCTGCCTGCAGGAAATCCGAGTGCTGTACTTCAGCAACAAGTAATGTGGTTTCGGCTGTTGTCAGTTGTCAGAGTTCGAGGGACGCTAGGATGGAGGTGAAGGGTCACCATTTTCGCTCTTCTAGGCTATCCGACTTGTGTTCTCAGTTGCGTCCATGCTACCCTGCAGCACCGCCTTAAAGTCCCGTACCTGGCCACAATGTTTTTGTCTGGGCTTTGAAGGTACCTCCTCCATCCTTTACATATTTGTCGTATTTCGCAGTACAAGAGAGAGGGTCCCTGGACGACGGGTTTGAAACGTTACCAGTTTGCAGCGGCGTTGGATGAAATGAAATGAATAGAATCACTGAGATGAATGAAGTGAAGGACATGAACCAAATGAATGAATGAATGAATGAAATGAATGAAAGAAATGAATGAAATGAATGAACGAATGAATGAATGAATGGAATGAATGAATGAATGAATGAAACGAATGAAATGACCGAAAGGAACGAAATGAACGAAATGAATGAAAGGAATGAAAGGAATGAAATGAATGAAAGGCATAAGGTGAATGCAATGAAAGCCAAGAATTCACTGATATCAAAGAAGTCAATGAAGTTAATGAAGTTAACATCAATGAAGTGGAATGGAATGGAACGACATGAAAAGGAATGGAAATAAAATGAAATGAAAGACTGGATGGATGGATGAAGGAATGAATGGATGAACGGGACAGCCAAAGCGACAGTTTGGATGGCCCACATCTCAACAACCTCAATGCTACAATACCAGTATTCAAGGGCAACTCCTGCCCCCTCATTCCGGCAGCTTGCCCGGTGGCTTCGACGTTAGGTATTCCAACTCTGCGCAGGGCACAGGCCGTTGGAAATTTGGTGCTCCTTCACTATGAAATTTCAAGCACTTTCAAGGCTTGCGAGCCGTGACCGCAGGAGCAGCTGTCGCTCCTGGCCAAGTTGGTGAGGAACACGCCTGAGCTGAAAAACTTCGAGAGGCCCGTCGAGGGAGCAGAGTTTGGGGACCATGGCTGCAGCTTCTGACAGGGTTGAAAGAACTGCGAAATCCAAGCCTTGCGTCGGTAAGCCAAGCTCTCGTCCGTTGGAGATGACATGGACTGCGAGCTGCGAGAGCCCGCTGGCCGTAGTTCACTGCTGACCCCTGTTGTCAACGAAGGGCCCTAAAATAAAACATGTGCACCAGAGCGAAGAGAGCGAAGCGCAGGCCGACGTTGATGCAAGTCCTCGGCCAAGTACCCAGATGGCATCGCAGTCGCCTGGGGACCCTTCCGGGAAAACCTCACCTTCCATTGGCCAATCGAAGCGCAGTGCTCACCGAGGGAAAGCGATAAGATGCCTGCCGAAGCCGATAGTCACCGGCGTTCCAGGTGCGGCTACGTATGTCAACGCCGGCAAGGGCCATGCTGGAGCCCTGGTTCGATTATTTGGAACGTCCACAAAGAATTCGGGATGCTGCCAGGGTCTCAAAGACTTTGGAAGCGACTCCGACTGTCAGAGTTAAATGGCGGCACACACTGATGAGAGGTTGCCGTGTCCGGCCAACAGTGTCGCATCTCCTGCGGTAAATCCAATCGTCGGACTGCATCAGATCATGGCTTGATGCATCCAGCTCTGCGGCTGGCACCATGCAAACAACTCACCACTCGCAGTGATGGCACTGAGCGTGAGAAACGATACAGATTGCAACCTTTCCCGACGTTGTGCTTTGGTAGAGGCACCTCGGAAGCTTCCTCAGACTTGAGGAGTTTGCTGGCAGAACGCGCGACTTTAGAAGTTTATCCCGCGGAGCACCTTATCTGCTCACCGGGCAATGGGCCGAGGAGTTGGCTTTTGTGTGTGCGGCATCAGGTTCTTTTCAAGCAAGGGGAGATCGGAGACCAGTTCTACGCCATCATCGAGTCTCGGAAGGATAAGGGCCGAGTCGTAACCCACCTGGAAGTGCACACGAGGCCACAACCCAGCCTCAAAAATACGAGTCTGCAGTTGACACACATCGTAACGCTCTCCAGGTCAAGTGATATTCACGGTAGAAGGTCGCACAGGCCCGGCTGTCTTGAGGCCAGGAGAAGGGAACCATCAGCCGAAATCTGCACCGACATTCGCCCTCCCATCCCGCATAGTCTCCAATCGTTGCAGGCGAAGCCAGCGTGTGAGCACATTCCCACACAGCGGTCGTGCAAGCACCAGAGTAATTTGCAGATGGGTCATCGACACGTGGGCCTGCAATTTGGGGCTTCCACACATAACTAAGAAGTGAAGCCATCCCTGCAGCCACATTGGCTCCTCTTCGTGCTATCAGCGTTTTCTCGGGAATCGAAGCCTGCGCGAATGGCCCGGGCGTTCCATGGCTTCCTCGCTGCACTCCTCCGGCAAGCCGCACAGGAGGCTGTGCCAGGTGATCTCTTGGGCGACGACGAGTGCCTGGAAAGCTCGACCTGTGCCCTGAATGCCTTGCAGATGCGTGGGAAGGCCATGGAAGCGGAGGAGAGACAAATGCCGTGGATGATGATGCCGCCACCTGCGCGATGGGGCATGCCAAGGTACCACCCGTCACCGGTCATGCCGCTCTACATGCGACCGGAGCCTATGGGGCCTATGCCCTATTATTCGCCGGAATCGTACATGCACCCACAGCCTGCGACGTACATGCATCCACAGCCAATGGAGCCGGCGGACATGCAACCTGCGCAGCCGGAAGAAGAGCACCCAAAGATGGTGAAGAGGCAGGCCCCGTCGGAGACAGGTGTTGGGGCCAATGGAAACTAGTTGTGTAGGTATCTGCATCTAACAAGTCCATTGCGCTTCAAATGGGAAACTACTACTGCAAGACAAAGGTTCGCCACATGTCCCCTAACTCAATGAGTCAGGCACTTGGAACCAACCCCCTTTCCCGTGTACACTCCTCGCACGAGATTCGAAAGTCGTCGCCGGGAACTGCATAGTAGCATGCATTTCTTCCAGTAAGAAAACAAACCACTCCGCCACGCTGGCCACGTAAAACGGACCTGTGCCGCTCGGCTTCTCCGCAGCATAGGTGCACTTCTTGTACCGAGGATATCCTCCGCAAGCCGAAAGGTTCGTCACATCCACAACAAGCCCATGAACGTTCCAAAGACCTCGTGGGACTGGGGACGGGCTGGAGTCGTCGTGACACTGCTCCCGCAAGGAAACTGCTAGCCGCTAGCCACATTGTGCCTGATTTGGGCTGCATCGTCCCTCCCATTGAGTTTTTGTTCGCCCCTTGCAGGCAGGTGAAGTACCTGCCTTTGTCGCCTGTTGGCTGGGGCATGATCGCCGATGATGAAGGCCCAGATTCTTGTGCATTCCTTGTTTCTGTGGTCCAGTGTGCCGGGAAAAGTTCGGGGAAGCTGCATGCGGACACATATAACCTTTTCGCTTTTCATAGCAGTGAGACAGCCAGACGGGTAAACAGACACCACAGAACGCGACGATGCGTTGAGACTCGCCAACAAAAGCACCAGAAGCTAGCCTGGGATCTAGTTGGTTCGAAGATCTGAAGTGGGAGCAAAACTTGTCAGCTGCCTACGAACCTCTTAAAGAAGACGCTGCGGATCCTCCAAGACATGCGTTACGGTTCCAAAATTCCCAACCATTTTCGTGAATGAGGGTTCTGAAGCGAATCCTATCAAAGCCCCGGGCCATCTTGGGCCCATGTTGAAGCGGCATAAGAGGCATGCAGATTCGTCAGCTCACATCCGACCTCAAGGGCTGCGAGGGCGAGTGCACCAAGGGTGAAAAGATCTGGAGTCGGTGAGTCGAGCATGCTTGCAGATTCCGTGTCTTTGGGTTCCGGGGTTCGTGCTCTTGACAAGAGTGCGTTGCGATGATTTTTGGATGAGGGCCGCGGCCTCGACTGTAGACTCCCGTTCGAGCATAGGCCAAGCGATGGTCCCGACGGCAGGCTTTAGTCTGGATGTTGTGAGTGTTAATTTGAAGCTCGGCTCATTGGTCGGTGAACACTGAAGCCGAAAACGACACAAAGTGGCAATGCTAGAGGCGTCAGAATCCATTGCAGAGCTCAGGTACAAATGATCCTCAATGCCATAGCTTCGTCTTCTGCATGAACGGAGGTGCATGCTTTATGTGGTGTGAGAAAGCCAGCATGAAAGCTCCTCGAGAACGAGCAAGCGCGAGACAGAGAGAGAGGGGGGGAGCTTCACCGCAATGCTTCGCAACTTGCAAGCCCCGACGAATGCCATAGGGGTGCGGGGACGCGGCGCGTTGGGGGTAGTTGGCGTACAGGGAGGGGCTTGCAACTCAGAGGCCGGGAGCAAACTCTGTAGTTCAATGCCGCGGTCATTGAAACCCCAAAGCTGGCCACTCCATAACAACATGGTGTGGTTAGGCGGGCCACGTGCCTGAGGGTCACGACGTGACCCCTAAGCCCAGCAGAAAGAAACATAGAGAGAGCGGGACAGAGAGAGTGAGAGAGAGAGAGTGAGAGAGAGAGAGAGAGAGAGAGAGAGAGAGTAGCCAGAATTACCCTACTTGTTTGCCGGTACCTGCGCTTCAGCCTTGCTTTTCTTGTGGGAACCGGCTGCTGCGCACTACACAAGGTTCAGGGTTGAGTGGAAGGTCAAGGCAGTGAATGCTGAGTTGAGGTTTCTGTTCGGAGGCAGGGTCAGGCAGGTGAGGTTGGGTTACACGCAGCACAACGAAAAGGGGCACACGCCCAAAAAGGGTCGAAGGTGGCTGGCAGGGCACCCGACTTTAACATATGGCCACGTACTGAAATGCTAGTGTGGGCCCGACCACTCACCCTCGAACTGAGAGTGGCACCCCTGAAAAGAGTGCTCTCGGAAATGCTGTGCGGACCTTTTGCTGACCGCCAGTTATTTTCCTTGTTGCTTCTGCGTTGCACCCGCCTCGTCAATACGGCACTAGGCTTCAGGGTTGAGCGGAAGGTCGCAGGCAGTGAGTGCGCTTGTTTGAGGCTTGAGTTCGGGCTGGAGGCAGGGCTTAGGCAGGAGAGGTGGGTTTCAGAACTAGCACAGAGGGCACAGGCCCGGACCAAAGTGGGAGTGCCCAGGGAGCTTGTCACTATTACTCTATTACTCATGGGGTATGTTGGCTTTGTGAGCTGAACATGTGCACCCGCCAATCCCACAAAAACCACACTCCATGTACAGCCAAGCCCATCTGTCCAAAAGGATGGATGGGGTCGCGCGAACGCGCGGGTCGTGGGGACTGCCCACGATCCACACCCCGGAGCAAAGCAAAGTAGCCATTCTGGCTCAAGCCATTTGTGGCAAGCCGCTGCTGTTCCCCCTTGCCTGCGACACGTCTGTTTGCATCATTCCGCCATTCCCGGCCATCCCCGAAGCCATCGAGGACGCGTGGGAAAGTGAGTCGGATGAAGGTCAGCCGTCGCAACTCAGCCATCAGAGCAATCCGCAGTCGATCCCACGGATGGGGTGCTATGCGGCCCAGACGATCTCGAGACAAACTGGCAGATCGCGCAAAGCTTGCGCTGGGCATGTCTGTGCGAGCCGCAGAGCATCGTGCGACTTCATGGAGCCGTCGCGACCAGCGGCAATTTGAGGGGCAAAGTTTGCCGGAAACGCCCCCCAGGTTGTGGAGAAGTTTGAGGCCGATGCCTGCCGAGCCCAGGCCGAGATCTGCCGGCTTGAGCTGAAGGTATAACACTGCAGGCAGAAATTCTATGGACCCGATGGCGTTTGCTGAGCATGGTCGCTGGGATGCGGCGGATTTTCAAGCATGTACAGATCACATTGCCACGCACGATTCTTTTCAGGGTTGGGCGGGCGGCCAGGATATGCAGCAATAGCAAAGTTCGAGGAGCACAGCCGCACACAAGACATGGGCCCAAATTTTCGAGCATGGCCCCGCTCCTCGAAAGGATCGTTCATCAGTTCGCGTTTCGAACCCGTATCCATCGCTGATGCTTTGTTCAGCCCGCATGGGGTTTGTGACTTTGACCCACGTGCGCTTTCAGATCTCTTGTGATGCTGAAACAAGCAACCGTTGGTCTTACCAGTTATTGCTATCTGCTATCCCTTGCCGATAACCTGGTGAACGTCCATGGCTGGCGAAAGGTCAAGGAGGAGGTGCAAAAACTCTTCCGAGCCAAAGGCCCCCATCGCAGACTTTGTCGATAAGGAGATGGAGCGCGCAGGCCCGGAACTCACAAACCAAGCCTGCCGAAAAGATGGCAAACAAATTGCGCGGCGCGAGCGGGAAACAGTGGCGGAAAGCCGGTGCCGCGGCTGAAGAGATGAACCCATGACACCCAGCACGTCGAATGGGCATGAAATGGCATGAAGCAATTCGAATGCACACTTCTTTGACTGGGAATGAGCCCATTGCTCCTACGTCCCAGTGCGGGGGATGCAAGCAAACTGTAAATACCCGTGTGACGGATGTCTTGGTACAGGGGGATTCTCCCTTGTCTGTGTGGAAGCAAGAGAGTCTGCCAGAGTTTACCCTTGCTGTTCTGGAAAAGTCCATAAGAGGTGGAGCTGGGCGCCCAAGGGACGGTCAGACTTTTCCTCCGAAGGCCACCGGCGGTCTTCTCATATGCCAAAAAGGAATGCTCCTGAGGGCAGGCAGTCGGACGTGAAAAACATCGCGAAAGAGTTGAGAGTGAAGAGAAGGCATCACAGTTTTCGCAGCTCCATATAGGATGGCAATGCCTAAGACACGGGGTCTGCTTCAACGGACCCCAAGCCTTGCAGAATGAAACGCAAAGACGAGGAAAGTTTTTGTGTTCCATCCAGCAGAGCGAAATACTGGGCCCCAAATTCCCATATTTCACCCTCAGCGCGCCAAAGCAGCAAGCCCGACTTTTGGCGCAATTGGTGTGCGTGATGCCTCTCCATGTTCGTTTCAGTTTTGGAACCGACGGCACGAATCACTCACGCAGGCTGCTACCTCAAGACTGCGCAGTTCCGCACTGGACAGGAGCCTGTTCACTACAGCATTTCGGCCGAGAAAGATGAGGGGCATGGTGCTATGTACCTGTTTTCGTTGCATGATTGTTCATGATTGGTTGGTATTCCACCATGGGGTTACATTCTGCTTGCGGAGGCCTAGAATTCTAGAATGGCAAAGCTTGCGTTCCGGAGTAACGTGTTTCTGCGAGGAAGAGGATGTCTTGTGATACAGCATTCTACAGTCGCGACTACAATGAAGGAAGTAAAGCAATCCCCATCCGCGCCGAAAGACCAGGTGGCTTTTGCTCCACTTACTGGACCCCTGCAGTGGACACCTCCCAGCCATCGGTCAGGCTCCGTCAATTTTTTCTTGGTCATCACGTAGCATGGATCATATGACGATTTGGGATGATTCAGATCTTCGAAGAATAATCAATAGACGCTGCAGCCATTGCCCCAAACCTTGGATGCGAAGCTTTGCAGCTACGCCAGAGCTCCAGCGCGGCAACACTTCCGAAACCAGATAAAACTGACTACTGTATGACTGTATGACACTTCAAAGCCCGAAGCAGCCAAAAGGCAGGCTCACAGATGTAAGGAAACTGTTGCCTTCCTGCAAGAAGCGCTCCTGCTCCAAGAACTCGCGGTTTAAAGTTCAGTGTACTGGACATGAGAGATTTACAACGGTTTGTGTAGCCTTCCCACAGATTGCACAGTGGTTTCTTATTCTGGAGCGCTGAAGTGGCGATGGATCGTTTCTGCGTTCAGAGAGACCCAAGCCCCCTTCCGATGCGAGGCCGACACTGCCGCCCGTTACTCGGCGGAGAGTAGAGCTGATGGGCTCTGGCGGTCAGGGGCACTTCAGGTAACCCCGTGGCATCCCAAAAGTGTGCCTCAGATAGGCTCGATGCACGCCTTCCCTGTCTTGCTGAAATTCGTTCCCGAGCCGCAGCGCTTCGAGGTTCAGCACGTTGAGGTCAAGCAGTGCGGCAAGGATGAGGTGACTCGGCGGCGCAAGGGAAGTAGAATGTAGAGTCGGGCTGCTTCGGCCGGATCGATGGGCCACATCGGCCACATGGCTAGGGGACACGCCACCATGCTTAGGCAGAACAAGGCCCTGCCTCGTGTGCTTGCCATCGGCGAAAGCCTGGCAATTGGGTTAGCTCTTTGTGGGAATTCCTTCACCAGCTAGGCCGCTAGGCCTTCCTCCTGCACGCCCCCGGTCGTTTCATGATCCTGCTCGGAAGATGTTCGCAGCACTGGACTGCCCGGCATCATCCTTGCACGACAGCGTTCAGCGATCGCGCGGGACGTGCCATTCATATTCCGTTGCAGCACGAGGTGCCCGAGCCCAGTGGGAGCTGCGTGGCTTCGACTCAACCCGAGCTGATGACCTTCTACCAGTACAGTGCATGGGCCCCAGGACGCGAACTGCGCCGCTGGTTTTCCTCCTGGCCGTCTCGACCCGGCCTCTCGTGATATCGATCCGGAAGTCCTTTGAGCCCAGGCGCAGAAGAAGCAGAACGTCGACGACCGTGTCTGGGAGAATGTGAACTTTGCCAAGTGGCCGCACTGGGCACGTGTTTCTCTTAAGCTTATGCTGGAGGGAAACTCATGGCAGCCTTTCAGAAGGGACATTTGAGTATGGGTTTTGGCCTGGACAAGTCGCAGGCCAACATTGGTGGCGTCATGTTCTACCTGCACAACGAGGCCAGCAGATGTCTCAAGCGCGCTTTTCTCGGAAGCCTCATCGTGTTTGTGTATAGTGTACAGTGTATACATTGCTACATGTGTAACTGCGAAGTTGCCTGTCAGGCCTTCTCGAAATTTGATTTTGAAGTAAGTGAGGCTGTAGAGAGCAACGTAGCAGAAGGTCGTGGACAAAGCTGGCGAGATGCGCAATGCGGAGGGCGATCGGACACCAAAGTTCAACATCGACCGCATCCTTCGCTTCAAGGTGCCTAGGGCCGAAAAACTACACAAAGTGAAGATGGCTGCCAACTCTTTGCGTTGGTTCAAGACAGCCAGGTGACGATGAAGAACCCTGATGCTCTTTGGAAGAAGTACAGGTCGCAGTTCGGGCGGCCCGGCTGAATGGATTTCTTTGCCACGTAGTGCACTTTTTCGTCGCAGAGCTCCAGGGTTTGTGGTTTCGGGATGTGTTGGCCGAGCGCTCGCACTGCCGAGTGCCCGTGCCGCAAGAGCTTCCAGGAGCTCTGCAGCCGGTCGGTAGTTCGAAGACGTGTTCTTCAGGGTTTAGGGGCTCGGGGTAATTCGGGTTTTTCGACTGTGCAAGAAGGGAGGGTTTCGCTGGCACACAATCCAAGCCCATGCTGAAAAAGGGGTTTTTGGTTCTCAAGTTTAAAGGTGATTGGTCGCAGAGGCTTCTGAGCTTTACATGTCGAGCGTCTAGTGGCGACACCGTGAGTCGCAGAGGGGCGCTGTGTGAAGTGTGAAGATGCAAGGCAGTTCATCCAGTTCGACTATGGCCAAGCTACCTTCGGAATGCCAGACCACGTCGAAAAATGCACCTCGCCCCAAAATTATTGGGACTTTGTGGAGCTAATTTCCTGCATGCCTGCAAACTCCTGGTTCAGATTTCAGTCTGGAGCAGAAAATTACTTGCTCCTAAAACTCCGAGGGCGACAAGCGAGCGGACAAGCAAGTGCATCGTGCTCGGAAACGTGTGAGCCAAAGAAATCCAAACCACGGAATGCTCTGAGCCACATTCCTGATACCACACATCCAAGTAAGATCAGGGCCTTGAGAACTCTAAACCTCCCAGAGGCCGAAACTTTGGAATCCGGCTTGGTGTATCCTGTCAGACCCCAGGCAACGCAATTTGGGAGACGATCGGGTACGAGGTGTCTTGCCGAGTGAGCATGTGTGCGAGTGGCCCAGCACTCTCCTCTCTAAGTTAACGACAGAATTCCCAGATTCGCCGCATGCAAAACGGAATAGTTGGAATAGTTTAAAGACAAGATTGAAAGTCGGCAACGGAAGGCATAGCGACTAGGGTCACCGTCACAGTCGCCGCAGGTGGGGTGCCAGCCGAACCCTGTGGGCATCTCCGGCTACGATGGAGGCAAGGGCTCCGAAACACCAGGGTACCGAATTGGGGTCGTAATTTCATTGAAGTTCCAAATTCCGAGTTCCTGGTCCTGGAGGCTACTGGACCTCCTGGCCTGGACGCTGCCCTTCCATGCCCTTCTCAGACTCGTGCCTTGAGTAGAGTGCAGCTTCGAAGGGCCCACATACGAAGTTATATTTAGGGGCTGCGCCCAGGTGCGGGCAGCGCGAGCTGTTGTCAGAAACCCGTGGTATATAGATAAGTGCAATGTAGGCCCGAAGTGCGCAACTTGTGGGTGATCGTAGGCTCTCAGCCCCCGTCGGCCCTGCATGTAGCCCGCACCCCCCGTCCGCCGGACCCCGCTGATGCTCATGATGCGCGCCCTTTGGCGGCTTCCGCAACCCACTCAAAAACTTGGGAGTTATGACTTCGCGCCCACGTCGCGCCGCCGGCGCCGGTTGCGGGCGCCCGAGGGCTCATGATGCTCGCCGGCTCGCCTCCTGGGGTCGTCCACGGCGGCCCCGAAACCCGCCACACCGCGGGGAATGGCTGCAAAATGCGTGCGCGTTCCGAGACGCCTTCGGGCCAGGCCCCGCGCGGCCCGAGGGAGAAACGAGGGTCCGATGATGCGGGGTCCGGGGCGGGTCGGCGGCACTGTCGGTCGTGGCTTCTGCTTCGCAGACGAAGCTCATTCGTCTGAGCCATAGCTCAGTCCATACAGGGCAGCGAAGCGCTGCCCGATTTAATGGCTGCCGCCGATGCCGCCGACCCCAGAAGGGGTACCCCCAGGTCCGAGTTTGCAATCTTGCTTGTAATGGCCGGGAAATCTTTTTATCTTTTTGACATGCATTGTGATAGGAGAGATCATTGCAATTATTGATCTTCCACGAGGCATGCTAGTAAGCGCGAGTCATCAGCTCGTGCTGATTAAGTCCCGTCCTTTGTACACACCGCCCGGCGCCGTCCTCTTGGTGGTCGACAGCGGGAGGCCGGCGTTTTAAAGGGGCTGGGGGGGGGGGTAGTCGTAGTTGTAGGCTGGCAATAGGGTTTCGTCTGCACAGGCGGTTAGGGTTTCGCCCTCCGTGGCGGTTAGGGGTTGAGGGCCTCAGGGTTTATTAGGGTTTGGGTTTGAGTGGTCGGGTTCTGGGCTGGGTCTTAGCGTTCAATGGGGCCTGGGTTTGAGTGGTCGGGTCTGGGTTGGGTTTTGCGGGTGTAGCCTAGAAAGGCGATATGAAAATTAGGTCCGACAGAGGCGGTTGGTGTTGAGTATGAATAGACTAACGATTCGGAGTATAGTAGGGAGGAGCAGCCCTAAATGCCACACTGACTCAGCGGTACTGGTAGGTTCTATTCTCCTTAAATCCCCTAGACTCTGCACCGCGTAAACAGTGGACCTCGTGAGGCCCATGCTTTTCAAGCACTATACTTAGGGACCGAAGAACGACATAGCATAAGCATTTTATAGGGAGATCCCTACCTCATTGCACTTCATTAACTAAGGGTGTTATATGGGATATCCCTGTCTTTCTTTTTGCTCGTATGTTTTTTGGGGGCCCTATGAAGCCGCATACAACAAGCTCCGCTTGGGCAGGTACATTTCTTGAGCCCGGAAAACCCAAGATGAGCGTAGGACTGTGGTAAGTAGCCTAGTGTAGGGGTCTATGAGGGCTCAACAAGAATCACTACGCACAAGGTGTCACAACGGACTTACAGGGTTCTGGAATACTGCGCACTTAATAACATCACCTGATAGTCCCTTTGTGATTCTAATACAATTTACAGCAGAAGCCCTGGTTCAATCATAAAGCTCCTGCGCGAGGGCGTTGGGATCCAACATCTATGAGATTTAGGGTTTACCGCTTAGGGTTCCTGGTCTACTCGAGGCTCCTGCAATGGGGTGTTGGGATCAACACTGTATGACCCTTTCTGCGGACCTTAGCAGTTTCTCAAGGGCCGGTGCGACTTGCGGGCTGATTCTGTTGCCAGGTAACAAATAGGGGTTTTGGGTTTAGGGCTCTAGCCTTATAGGGTCTGGGGTATTGGTTGGTCTAGGGAAAGTGTTCTACAATGTGCCCCACTACCATATTCTCCTTATTCAGGCCGCCACAATCGATCGGAGTACCACGCTACACAGAGCAGTAGGCGATTCTTTCACAGTAGATTCAGAAGCTTATAGTAGTTTCAGGTTGAAGGGTTTTTATGTAACGACTCCTTTGGACAGTGCTATGCTTCATCTGAGGTTTTCTAGGCGTGAGCCCTCATCCCGCAAGATTCCGAAACTTAAACCTTAAAGCTACTGGTCAAACAACGACCCCTGCCATGCAGCACAGAAGACAGCAATGGAAGACGTTAGACCATGTACGAATCCGGCTCGGTTATGGGCTGGTAGTTCTGCCACTGCTCCTGCTGTGAAAGCAGTCGGCCATGCTGTGAAAGCAGTCGACAGTACGCTACTCCTAGAATGGGCTGTTGGCATGGACGTGAGTTGAAGTTCCGCACAGACTGAGAGAGAGTGACCTGAAATGTTTCACCGAGGTGTGAAGGTGATTTGATCGTATAAGCTTATGTTCTTGCGATACCTTTGTTTTTTGATGCTTGAGGTAGATCAGTCAACGTACTGTAGATTGAGGTGTCTGGTGTACTAAGTAGCCTTAACTTCGGTTGTGCGTTGTTGTGCGAGACCGGACACCGAGCTGCATGATGCTTAGTTTCACTGCACTGATAGTTTTTGTCTTTGGTGCTGTAAGTTCGAGTGGCGCCTTTGCCGTGACGTAGTATGCCGGTAGCTCGAGGCCCGTCCTGCGTGGCACTACCTTGGTTCTGTGTTTTCTCCGTGGGCCTTGAGTGATCCGGTGATAGCACCGACCCGCACCGAGAGACCTCGTCTGGCAAGTCCGAGTTGCGAGAGCGTAAAGCTTGAAACGGTCCTTGCGTGGGCAGATGGCGCCTGTGAATGTGCTGCTGGACAGGGAGAAGCAGTCTGGACGACGATTGGCCAGGTGCGGTCCTCGTGGGATCTCCTGGGTGTCCCATGTATCTCAAAATGACTGCCATCGTCATGGTAAGTGCAAAAATGTCTGTTGCTATGCTTTCCACCATCCTTCACCGATGATTCTGCATGTGTTGCGTTCGGGAGGGTGCCGCCCCAATGAAGGGGCATTTGGCGTTCGGGAACTCGCGGGTAAAGGCAATAAGGTGCGTTTGGGGAATTGTCGGAGTCGCGTTTTAAGATCGCTACCGTTTGCGTTTGTGCACTTGTAGCAACCATGTACTAGAACATATCCCCAAGCCCTGGTCTGTGTTCGATCAGCGTGTAGGCCACGCAGCATTCTGGAATTGTTCGGCTTCCACTACAAGGCTTATAGTAAGCCCCATAAAGTTGGAAACCGGATTAAGGCCAAATAGTGCTGGGATTCCACATTACTTTTAAGAATTGAGGCTACGGGGTTTCGAGCTTTTGGGCTTCTACTATAGCGCATCTTCTAGTAAGATACACACTGGGGCTATCCGACAACCCATCGAAAATCCCAGACCCCCAAAGCCCAAAATCCCAAAAGCACGAACCCCAAAGCACTGGAGCCCGACTGGACACGAGAGCCACAAGGATCCTCTGGGGCTCTCGGCGGAGACGCCGAGGTCTCCAAGCGACGTGCCTTGGCAGGGTCGGTAAGACAAACAAGTCCCTCCAGACCCCAATCCCGAAGCATTATACGGCTGGTCTTAGGGCTTGACTGCTTGGGTTTCAGGGTGTCGGGTTCCCACATTCGCTGCAAAACTGATCTTGAAAGCGCTGCGCTGCCCAAACTGGATTTCGCGTCATCGCTCTGAGGCCGCGAGGTGGAGCTGAAGCACGGACGCACCGCGGCCTACAACTGGGACTCCGCAAAAGCCAGCAATTTTGATGTTCGCCGGGACAAGACGACCGCTTTGAACCAGTGCTGGCTTGGGTTTAGACCGTTTGCTTCGAGGCCAGCTGTAGCTCCTTCCGTTTTTTGCGATAGCGAGAGAGAGAGAGAGAGAGAGAGAGAGAGAGAGAGAGAGAGAGAGAGAGAGAGAGAGAGAGAGAGAGAGAGAGAGAGAGAGAGCGAGAGAGAGGCACTTTGGGCTTCAGGACCCCCCCCTTGTTCGTCGAGCACGTGCGCTCGAAAGATTGAGGGCCTCGCCTTTCCGAGACCCGATTTCCCTATGAAAAGCATGTGACTCAAGGTATCTCCCATGTTCGCGACCATCGGCAGCGCCCTCGGCAATCCAAACCCAAGGCCATGCGTTTCAGCAGGGTTCTCATGCACGCTAGACCGAGGCTACATCGTGCCGGAGTACTTCCGCTGGCCTGGAGAAGCTTGCTAGAACCGTCTTGGTCTCGTGCATCTCAAGCCTCGGTTTGTCAAGCTGGTCTGTTCGGAGAGCTTACAAGGCTTAGAATAAGAGCTTCGATTGCCTACATGATGTTGAGGTTCCCAAATCAAATCCATCAAGCAGCCTGGAGGCCACTCGCAAGCTCTGAACCCTAGTGGCCCCAGCGCCTTGGGTTATTTGAAAGCTTATTTTCAACTCCAATCCGATTCCCTGTTGAAACCAGCATGGCACATCTGGACTAGACCGCCGCTAACCGCTATCAGATAATAGTGGTAGCTTGGTCTTGAGGAACTACCCCCAAACAGCCTCCAGCCCTCAACGCCTAAGCCCCAGAGACGAAAAGGCCGAAGGCCCTGCAGGCATAAAGGCGCCACGCCCTCTTAGCAGCGCAGGCGTCCCAGAACTCTAAAACGCCTTTGAGAACACATATAAACGCCACACCCCGAATACTTTGTCAAGGTGCCTTGGACATGAAGCTAGCCCAAGCTCAGGAGCTCTCCCCGAAGCTCGGCCTGAAGTTCAGGGACATCCCCAACCCCAACGGCCTCGCTGCTTTGACGAAGGTGCCAGGCGCCCCCGGAGTGGCTCTTGTTGGCGGCCTTCGAATGCGAGGGCTGAGGGCTTCTACAGGGTCTTTAAAGGGCGGTGTTCTGAAAATTTGTGGGACTGAAGGATTGCGTTGCAGGGGTCCTCTATTCAGGATCTTACGGTTTAGGCTTTCTAATTGTTATGTCCAGTCTTTTCTGAACCTCCAGATGTCCACTTTGATGTGAAAAGCTGACAAGGAGAAGTTTCTAAAAGGTGAT